TTTGTTCAAATTGTACTAAAAATGAAATCTCAAAATGAATAATTTTGGACATAGGAATTAATGTATTTAGGGAACACTCTTTAAATAATTTAAAATTTGTTTTATGATTTAGTCATTATGTGCTAGCTAGAGTGAATTATGACTATATATACTTTTCAACTTAGCGGAACCGTTTGTAGCATTAGGAGTGTCCATAAATTTCAATCCGTGTTGTACAATTATGGGAGAAATTGATCAAATTACCTGAAATAATCATTCGGATCTCATTTAAATATGGATTACAACCCCGGTGGGAATCATTTTGAATTAATCTCATTGTTACTTTGAATGCGTCTCAGCCCATATGATTGTGATGGGCAACAATGAAAAAGTACAGCCATACTGTGACTATTGACCACCCCAGGAAAAAAAAAAATCAAAATAAACATGACATATCTATATTTGCAAAGCACCCTGTAATATCAAATTTCGACATGTTTCGTTCTATAGGTGTAATCCGCATCCTTTTCAACACTATGGTCCAATTTTTCTTTTTTAATTTTCTTTATAAAAAATGATTAAAAGAAAATGAAAGAGAAAGAGATGGGAAGCCTAACAAACTTTCTATTATTGGAATTAAAATCGAAAATGGAGTTCAAGATTTTCTGTTAATGCTGTCTGGACTTGTTGATACGATGACTGGCAGTGGTCCTCCAGCCCAACATCCATGGTCAAATTGACTCTACTCATCAACATTTCAGCCATCACGCATGATTTTAAGGCTTAAGCTCTCGCCCACTTGATATGATTGAGCTTTTGTTCTGTTGCCCTTAGATTAGATGGTAAGGTGTCGTAAATGAGCAAATTCATGTCTTGCATTTGTATTAATCTTCTTCACTCGAACAAAAATCGATCCATTTTCAAATAAGGTTTTTCCCTTCTACATAGTATCTCTTTTCAAATCACTTAGTTTATTATGGCTGAGGTTGATAACATGAGTGTTGTCAATATGGTGAAGAGTGAGGAAGAAGTAAACGGCATGCATCGAAGTCTAGTGTTGGTCATTCGTGAGCTATTGAATCAGGAATGATCAGTGGAAGTAAAGCATATTTATCGAGAGCAGAAATTTGCAGTAAATTTGTTAGCAACTTTAGCGGTATATAGTTCAGATGGTTTGCAACGGTTAGAAGAAGTTCCCGTAATGTTAAAACTATGATTAACAAATGATATAGCTGATGTTTCTTGCCAACGGGATGTAATAATCTAGATATTAAGGCATGTGCCTCTTTGCTTGTACCAAAAAAATTCACTTGGCTCAACAAGCGTGTGAATTGCTAATAATAATAGTATTATCTCGGTCTTGAGATATATCTCTCAGGCTTATTGCATCAAAACAAAAAGATTATGTGAAAAACATGTTGTGCAAAAACTCTGGTGTACCAAACAAAAGCAACTCACAGTCAATGATCGTGTGATTTCTATCCGACCCAGTCCCTGAGTTAGAAATCAGTCAAATCACATAGGATCCTTCAAGTTTTTGCCCTTGGCAAATGGAAAATCTAAAACCCTTTTCCAAAGAAAAAGAGATCAAAATTGTTAATCAAGAATTAACACGAATTCTCTGGTGAAAATGACCCTCGAGTACCATGGTATGATTGAAACCATATCCATGAATTATATCAAAAGCCAAACTCTTTCAGGAGTCTCATTATTGTTAGTCGCTTTCAATTTGATCTATCCCTCACTTAATTAAAGTTCAACCCTTATTTTTTTGTCCTTTTATTTCACCCATAATCATTCACATGCCACTATTTAAACCTTTTCCTCTAGCAATACATGACATGTTTATTAATTGCGATAAGTATCTAGCCAGGTTAACTGTTAACTAATGGCGAAATCATTTGAGTGGTAGGATTTTATTTTATTTATTTTTTCGAAAAATGAATTATTTAAAGTTATTTCATGTAAAGCCTCTTTCCATACACTCACTTTTGTAGTGGATAGTTTCAGCAAATTGTCAAATAGCAACAATGCCCAAACTTTTAGAAATGTAATTATGGATACTCAATCATACAGCTAGCTGATCTCTTCATCCCCTCCACTTTTTCTTTCTACCAATTGCTTATATGCACACCAACAGCCAGAGTACTAAACCTACAAACACTATCATGATGTGGGACTTCAAACCAGGAATGACGGGGCGTTCTGACTGATATTAATCGAACGATTTAAACTTGTCGATATCTACCAATATTATTTTAAATATTAAGGTATTGAATTTTTATGTTTAATAACCTATAACATTAATGTATGTGGATACATGTGAAGGTGTGTGATTATATTTTTTCCTAAATCGCTCTGAACAATTGGACGAATTAAAAGACAAAAAATATGATATTTGTGTAAGTGTAAACTTTTTTATTTTAAAAAAATAAAATTGCCAAATCCAAAATCTCATATATAGCATTATTGTTGTTTGTGGGTATGTAGGAGATTATGGGCATGATTTTTTATGATATGCTTTCAAGAAAATCCCACTAGTCCACCACTACCAGTATTATGATATTTTGGCTTTCTAGTGATTAATTGAATTCGTTATCCCTAGTTCCCTACATTATGATGAAATTCTTCATATTACCTTCTTGGCAAAGCCTGATGTAACGTTGATCTAAGCAAAGGTTCTGGAAAGGTTAGGTAGGACTGATTACTCATTCATTTTCGGCTTGGATTGAATTGGGCATATATGATGATACAGCCGTTAATACTTTTGTTTAATTTGGATTTCATTTGAATTGAATCGAATAAATCACGGTTAATCAAAATTACGAAACTGACACCAAACAAAATACAATAACTTAACTATCACGAAGGCACAAACAAAATGCAAGCACAGAACTACTCAGTTTCTTGCAATTTCTTTTTTTTTTTTTTTAATTTTATGTGTAGTTTTTGCCTATAAAAAAAATCTCGAACTGATAAATGAACAACAAATTTATCTCCGAGCAACAACTTCCGGTGACCTTATATTGCTTGCAAATCTGCGAAAGTTCCAATAATATCATGGGATAAACTATTGATGTAAACAAGATGCGTAAAAGTCACCTTCACAATAATAATGTTGTCACGCCGTTTTGTAGATGCCTATTGGAATTTGACTTCTTTTTTTAAAAAAACGTACTCCCTTTGTCCTAAAATTATTGTCCAGTTTAAGATTTCTCTTTTAATACAATTTAAACTAAAAATAAAAACACAAACTGCACAATAATTATGGGACGGAGGGAGTACAACTTGAGCAGAACATGTAAAGAAAATGTTGATGGAACTCTAACCTTGATTTTGAGAAGAAAGAACTATGAACTATATGTTGAAAAAGTCGAGAAGATACCATTTGATGCAAGAAGGCCATGGCACAATATTTTTCCAACCAACTAATTAATTAGGATTTACGATTTTATGAATTTTTGTAGTTTGATATTGTGGTCAAATATATGTCAATCCCAATCACAGACATTCACAGTCACGTATAACCTCGTTCGATTTTGTATTTCGAGAATGAATCTTGACTGTGGTTGTTCTATGGTTACCAAATACTATGCGCATTGGAAGCCATGTATCCAACCCAAGAAAAAGAATCAATTAAGAATTGAAGAAATTGGAGGTTTTAATATTCCAAAAAGAGCTATGTCATTTCAAAACCTTTCTTCACCTTAAATCCAAATAGACTTATCACCATCTATCAAAATGAACTAAATGCAATGGCGGATCCAGAAATATAGTTTAGTACGACCACGAGACTAGCGTATATTGATCAATCAATTTTTTAATAACTTTATAAATAACATATACACGTGATTTGCACAAGTTGACACTTGATTTACACTTGAATTGTACATGACTAATATAAGTTATATATATTTAGGTACAATTTTAAATAATTAAGGTAACATATCATCATCATATGGATAAATATATTTTTTGGTAGTGATACTCTATTTAAACAATAAATGATACATAGTAACTTAACGTAGTAAAAATTTATGTGAATAACAAAAGAGTATCTAAAAAGATTTGATTAAAATAGAAGTAGGTTAGTTTTTAAAATTTTTTAGAATTATATGCTATATTTATCATTCATAAAATTCAATGAGGACACGTGCGCCCCAGTGCGGCCGTTGTAAATCCACCACTGACTAAATGTGCATGTAGAAAGAATCAAAGGACTGATCCCAGACTATGTTGTTATTCTACCATGCAATTTATATATGTTTCAGTCAACCTATATGGTTTCACCCATTTTCACCTTTTCAGCGAAGACGGTTGCTCATATTTTATCATTTATCTTTTCCGTAGTTATTATCATCCAGTTTATATTTTTATTTTTAGTTTAAATTATATTAAAATTGAAAATTCAAACTAAACAATTATTTTAGGATAGAGAGAGTTATTTTTTTAACTTTGATGGTATACACGTTGTAAAAAAAAAAAAACAGAAAGCTGTAAACTTCTCTATTAATTTTGAATAGTCTTATAGTTATGATTTATGAAGTAGTATTTATTTATTGTTCCAAATTGGATATTCCCATACTTTTAAGACTTAATAATTATTTTCTAAACAACGACCAACAAGTCGCTTTGGCCGAGTGGTTAAGGCGTGTGCCTGCTAAGTACATGGGGTTTCCCCGCGAGAGTTCGAATCTCTCAGGCGACGGTTGATTTTTTTTTCAACTCCGCAGATATTGAGGATTTGCCATTTGTGAATCAATCGATGGGGAAACATGGATTTATTTTGAGAATTTAGTTTCGCCTCCTGGAACAACGCCGTACGTTGCATATTTTAACAAGTACATCATTTATTTTTTTTCCTTTTAACGATGGGTTTTAAAGGCTTATTGAAATGAGTATCCCGGTTCCCAGTGGCGTACACAGTTCAAATTCAAACTCTCTGACTGGGATGTAATTTTTCATCTTAGATAATCTATATCTCACATATGTAAATTCCATAATAGTTTGGAATGAGTATTGTTTTACTATAATTCACAAAATCTTAGTTTTAACTATTTTCCTAAGAGGTAAAGTGTTCTAACTAATCATCAAATTACTTGCGCGACTTTTTCCACCCGCAAAACAGCATTGCACATTTTAACAGAAAACGTAATAGGGACTCCTAAAAACTAGAAAGTATCACCCAGATATGGCGCGTACTGCCACTGCCACAACCCAAGAACAAGTCTGTTTAGGCTACAAACAATCCGTAATACAACATCCAGCATCTCAAACGATAATCGTACCGACTAAACCCTCAGTTGTTCAAATTCTTTTTACTCAAAGTGACATGTTAATGTCATTGCATGATCCAAGAGACACCACCAACAATTAAGGATAGATCAAGCAGTTCAAGTGTGGTTAGCCCAGACCTGCTTACACAACTAGATAAGATACGGTAGTCAACATTAACATCAATTTGCCTCATAAATCTTTCCCAACAGTACATGGCATGAAAGATCAAGTAGCAATTGAAGAGAATTCATAAATATCCGATTGCAAAACCATTTACAAACTGATTCCGCAAAAAGCATCTTCTTAAACACGTCCTTAATTTCAAATCTGAGACAACATTGAAATATATTTAAGTGTGGTACTGAGACTGATCGAGTTTTCTAGCTATCAAATCCCAAGAAGAAAGCCTCTGCTGCAAATACCAAAGTCTCTAATGGCCGTACTTCTGGAATTCCCATTCACTATTATCTGAGATGTAAAGGAAGAGGAAAAAGAAACAAAACAAGCCAAATGAGACACACGGAAGCGATTTTCATAGACGATCAGAATTAATTATTACACAAAAAAAAGGGAAGGGGGTGGGGCGTTGGGGGGTATGGGTTTGAGGAGACTCGTTCATAAAACTTGCCTAATGGGCAGACTTGGCGAGTCTTGAGCCATCGGCTAATGCAGTGGAAATGAAAGGCATGGTTGCAAACACCTACAACCAAAACATTTGTCAATATGATATAACTATTTGCATACTCTCCAGCCATTATAGAGAACAGTCAGAGGTGCCTAGTGACAAAGGGGGTCGGTTAGGAAGGACCATATATATATACATACACATAAATGCAAAAACACACCAAACTGACTCCAGCTATAGAAAGAAAGGACAAGCTAAAGGTCAAAAGAGAGAAACGTAAAGCACATCCTTCACTAATTACGACATCTATTGTTTTAAGTAATTTCTGGAAGCACAGACAAGACTACATTGAGCATGAACCAGTAATCTCAGACTAAAAGCAGAATTTCAGTTCAACCATAGAACAATTTATCCTGTACAATGGAAACTTTGGACTTTAGAAATTAGGACAATGAAATCTTTACATCGTCACTACATTGTGACACTTACACTTTTAACTTCAGAAGAAAGGGCAACATACAGGGAGAACAAGTAAACTACAGAGAGGACAATAGTCAGAGGAAATTTAACTCTCTGTGTGTGACCTAAATGACTGCTTTTAAGTTACACAAAAAGAGAAAAATATCATCCTTAGAACAACAACCACAAAGAAGCCTTTATTGGTGTAAGCTATGTTGTTATAGTGCTCTGCCAGAACACAAGAAGGAAGAAAAAAATTGTTCAATGTACATAGCAAGTGGTCACGAGGAGCAATCTTGAATAGCGAACATAAACACAATACACTTTCCAGCTCTACTACATAACCATTTATCCACAACTGTCTACATAGAAAATTTCTAACATATTTCAAGTATACTTTTAGCTCAGAAAATATTCAAAGTGAATCAATATAACTTTCACCTTCATCAAATATTTCAAGGAACGAAGAATATGGTAATATGGTGAAAAGGCAAAACCACAGATAGTAACTACAACCACATTAAAGTATCAGATAACAAAGCTTGATAAGTGCTATTTAACATCTCCACCACAGTAAAATAAACACGCAAATCCTTGAGTAGTAGTTTTAACACCATCAATTAATCAACAATCAATAGCACCGAAACTGTTCCAAGCCATTTTTTTTTTTTTTCTAATCTACTGCTCTCAGACTCTGGATTTTACATAACAATAACAAAAAAAGGTAGGGAAAATTGGATAATTGTCAGAGATAGGCAATACTAATTACAAGCCCAGCAATTCAAATTTCAATAACAACAAATATTACGAAAAAGGATATTTAACACTCTTATGGCACGAAATTGTGCTGAATGCTATTGGTAGAGAATCTTACCCCAAGCAACTGTGCACTCCTCGCTAGTAGCACTAGCCTGATTAGCCTGACATTCAATACCTAATCATGGCACGGGCAACACCAAAAACCGAAAATCAAACAATCTATTGCAGGAAAGAAAAATACACAAAAATACACAAAGAAAGAAACCTAAAAACTTACACAGATCCATGATGTGGTTTCTACAGATAGCACAGTTGTCCACAACGATATCTGAAATCGCGAAGAAAAAAGTTAAGACGAAGAACACACTTATTTTGAGTGCATCGAGAAATTAGAGTTGAGGACAGCTGAAACTAGGGCAGAGAAATTACCCCAAGCCCAAAGTGCAACGGCATTCCATTTCTTAATTTCAAATCGCTTTGGCTTCTTAGTAGACGAGGATGCCACCGATGAAGAAGGCGACGGTTCGGTGGAGGCGGCGACCTCTCCGGCTGGAGTCATTTGGACGTCGGTGTCTAGAGATGCCATTACTGCGTTTTGAAGTAATTTTCCGCAGAGTTCTACTTTTTGGTTCTAAACCTCTAAAGCAGGGGAGATTTTATAAGGTCTGATGATAGGTGAAAATTGCAGTTGTAATCCAACACGTAAGTTAATTCCAAAATAGGGTTAATAGTAAGTGAATTGTGGTATTTTAGCCCGTAATTTTTTTTATTTGACAAATTTAGGCCTTTAAAGCAAATCATTTTTGGCTTACAGGTTCCTATGTACAGCCTCACTTTTAGAATCCATTTATTAGGTTGATTTTTAAATACTTATTTTAGTTACTAGTTTTTATAAAAAAAATAATTTATATACAAAAAATAAATATCACCGAACTTTTTATATGAAGGGGAAAGATTTGAAATAGTTGATATCTAAATGACCAAGTTATATAATGAGAGTCAAGATGGGCTTGTGATGTTGTCATATGAATGTGAAATGGCGACATAAAATACCAACTTAGAGTCAAAATTGGGTAAATATTAGTAAGATTAGAGAAATTTATATTTATAATTTTTTTTAATAATTCGATGATCAACATTGATGGTGTACATCAAGACGCTGAGAGCCTGAGACCCTTATAATTAGATTCCTAACATTAGTATGTTTAAAGTGAATGTAATATGATTTTACTTGATAAATCATCCACACGATTAAAAATCTTACTCCCTCTATTTCAAAATGTAAGTCTTTTTACACTTTACATGTAGACTAAGAAGACAATCATCTAATAATTAATTTATGTGTTAAATATTTATTTTACCCTTCATTAATTACATTGAAATTATAAACAAGACTAAATGAAAATATATTTGCATCATTTATTGAAGGTAAAGTTGGAAAAATAGTCATTAATTTGCATAAAATTTATAAAACGACCTACATTTTGAAAAACCTCTCCAAACCTAAAACGACCTACAAATTGAAATGAAGGGAATAGTATACAATAAGAAGAAAAAAATTTACAGTTGTATCATTACTTTAGCAATAACTAAGTTACTAGGTGCTTACCTGGGCGTTGCCCGATCCATTTACAACAATATATTTTAAAATTAAATATACAAATGGTAAAAGTGTTTTTCAACTTTAACTCATTTTGTATGTTTAAATTTTGGAAATAATAAAAGAATCATTTATTTATATCATTAATGACTTATTCTATTAATATTAATTGATTGATTATAATTAAAGACAAGGAAAGTTAACACAATTAAGGATTGTAGGAATCAATTTATTTTTTTCACAAAACACGTAGTTTTTGTTGGACGGGAAATGGATGCATGAGAACGCGACACGTCAGCCTTTTTTTTTCTCTTGGACTATTGTTTTAATAGGATACTAGTGTTTACCCCGCACGTTGTGCGAGTTGTTCAAGATATATATAAGGTTAATGATTTATTGATTTCATGATATTTCTGACGGAGTGATACATGTAAAAAAAATATATATATACTAATAATATCAATTACAATTGTATTATTTTTAAAGTCAATGTGTTTCGCTCTTTTAAGTACATTTGGAATAATTTTTAATAATGGAAATCATTCAATGTAACTTATTATCTATCTTTTTTCATTTTGTTGATTTATGGCTTTATATCTTTTAAAAATATTCTCTTAATTTTTTATAATGATTTCTCTAAATATTTCTACTCGTGTCATATCTTTTAATTTTTCACTTTAAAAGAGAACGATCTCATTATTTCTTTCCATAAGTTTATATTTATTTTTCATCTCTCTATATACCCCTTCCAACCTAGTTTCAGAAATTTGTTCATATATTTTTCCGGTTTACTTTAACTTTTTTTGGTTGCATAGTGTTCACTTTTTTTTCATCTAAATTTAATGACCTCTCTTTAAAACTTAATTTCTTAAAAATTTGATAATAATTATTTCATTGTTCATTATTATTTCGATTTTTTTCATATTTTTTTATTCTCTACATAATTTTTTTCTCTCCGTATAAATTCTTTTCAGTTTCTCGATATGCTTCTCTTTTACTGTTTATCTCCCTCACAAATACCTTTATCATTTTTCTAATTTTGGAAAATTTATTGATATCTACGTTTTGTTTTATCATTCCAATTTATCATTACAATGTTCACTTTTTGTGCAATAGTATCTTATGAAAAAAAATACAATGAATATATTATATATTATATTATTATATTAATTAGTAGTAATCATTTTTATTATACTTATATATGAAAACTTTGGCTGATTAATATATAATTATATTATTAGTATTATTATTATTTTACTTTTTTTTTCTTTTGTAATTTTTACACAATGTAATCATCATTAATCATTTATTAGGATTGCCCGTTAAGGAGCAATAATATATTATCATAAAAAGATTTACAATCACTACTAACTGAAGGAAAACTAATACATTAACCAATAAAAAAGAAGAAAAACCCGATTAACGTTAGTCATAAATTAATTCAATAAATTGTATGATAATATTTGGATATTAATTTACTGATTTTTGTCCCTCAATATTTGGAATATGATTGATTTTTAGGTTCATCTTTTATGATTTTTTTATATTTATCCGCCAATTTACACATAGAGCTCCCAATCCCCGACCGTGTTTCGTACGTTCTTCTTTTTTGGATAATGGGAGACATAAATATGGGAGGGTTTGTAAGTTTCCATAATTCGTTAATTTAATAAAATTTGGATTTTTGATGGAAACGTTAAACCAAGTAAACTTGATTATTTGTAGATTTTACGGATTTACAATAAGAAATTACCATTAAATGATGGAGTGATATCCTTGTGACATGTGGAATTGAGCATCTAATTTTGTGCCACATGCATTAGCCTATCTAAATTCGCATATATATATATATATATATATATGAGAAATGAGAGTTTTCAATCGGACACGTGGCGCAAAAATAGATAAGGTAATCCACATGGTAAAAAATTAGATATCCAAGTCCACATGTCGCAACCACATCACTCCATCATTCAATGGTAATTTTTTAAAGTGAAATTGTAATTTTATAAATAAAATTAAATTAACTAAAAATTGCAAAAGGAAACCAAAATGATAAACTAAAACCCTAATAAAAGATCCGAATAATTCGGCCTTTTCTTATTCTATAACATAAGCTAACACTAAATGCTAAATAACAACAGACCTCTTATAATGTTTGGTTAGGGTTAATATGGAATTTCTATATTAGGAAATCATAGTGCATCTTATTTAAGCAGTTTGTTTGCTTGAATTTAAGATCACTGGTTGCTTAATGATTTATCGAATAAAATAAGTTTTTTATAAAAGAAAATATAATTAATCAGCATTTAAATTAATTCAATCACTTATTTTTTTTCCCTTTAAATTTACACCAGTTGATCCCATTTAAATGTGGATAAAACTTCCTTTACATACTCCTTGGTGGAAATTCAACCCGTGTCTGATACAAGGAAGCATAACATCCTAACTACAAGATATTGAAAACATATGACACGAGTAAAAATATTTATCATTATAAAAAATTAAGAGAATACTTTAAAAGATATAAAGTCATAAATCAACAAAATGAAAATATGGACAATAAATTACATTGGATGATTTTAAATATTAAAAATTATTCAAAATGTACTTAAAATAACAAAAAAACATTGACATTAAAAATCATACAATTGCAATTTTATTAAAATTATATTCTTTACATATATCACTCCATAAAAGATTTTATATAATCGTTAAATCATTAAACTTACATATATCTTGAACAACCCGCACAACGTACAGGGTAAACACAAGGTTCCAAATGTGACAAGTAAAAAGATAGTGTTCTATGAATACTTTTTTTTTTTTTCTGATTTTTGCTTGAATCAATATAATTGCAACCCTAAATATTTAATATCTCTTTGATGCTTCGGTTTGATTTGTAAATATATATATACTCGAGATATTTTCAACCAAGTGAAGTCTTAACCATAAAGCAGTCAGTTGTATCAATAAGATTCGTGGTTTTAATTACCCGTATCTCGGAAAAAATGACGTTTCTACCCAAATCTTTGCCCTCGTCGTCAATCATACTTAATAGATTTTCGGTAGCTAACTTTACCCTAATGTTTGAAATTTTCGTCAATTTCGTCCAATCGTCCCATTTTCCGTCCAAATTAACGGATCTTCGTTAGCTTTTTAATAAAATAATAAATTTAAATACAAAAATACCCCAATAATTTTTAAAAATTTTAAAAATAACTCCTAAAATATATAAAAATAACAAAACAGTCCCTTTTCACCTTTTTATTTTATTTTTCTCTATTTTGTTTCATTTCTCTCAACTACTTTCAATGACCATATAACTATATTATATGAGTTTTAAAAAAATATTTATTTATTTTCAAATTCTACCGTAAAAAATAATCTTTGTATAGTTGTAAACACGTGATTGTATTTATATAAGTATGTTAATTTTTTGAATAATATAGTTTAGCAATAAAGACACTATTTTTCTCATTTATTTTATTCTTCCTAACATAAAGATTAAAAACATTTAACTGAAACTAATATTCCACATAAAAACAAAATATTAGCTCAAATAAAAAATAATATATTAGTATAGTTTAGTGTATTACAATTTAACTAGAGAGACTAAATGGCATAATATAATTTATACAAAAAATATTTATACTTATCAATGCGAGGATTTAACATTTTGTATTGCCGAGAGGAAGAAAAAGAATTATATTATGCCATTGAAAATGGCGAGGAAGAAAAAGAACCTCAAGATGGTATGGCGGAAAAAGGAACAAACCAGCGCATCCATTTCAGCGCCGCCTCCGCCGCTGGATATAACGGCGAATATTTTGCAGAGGCTCGGTGTTGTGGATATAGTGGAGAATGCCCGGAGAGTGTGCAGGACTTGGCGAAGCGTGTGTAACGATCCCCTCATTTGGCAAAGAATTGATTTTCTTGAAGAAGACGATTGTAATTATGATTTGGCACTACTGTGTAAGCACGTGGTCGATCTTAGCCACGGAAAATTGGTTGATCTTAGGATTGACTGCTTCGCTTCCGATGATCTCCTTGATTATATTGCCGAGAGGCAATCGTTTTTTTTTTATGTGATCCTTTTATTTGTATGTTATCTCGTTTGTTATGCTTAAGCAGCTCCATGTAATTTCGTAATGACTGTCTACAATTGACGCTATCCAGTGCCTACAATCATCTAATGTTTGTGAAAGAGGGATATTTAGTTTTTAACCTCATGTTGTGCAGTCATTTTTCTTCCGGCTTAACATGTTGCAGCATATTCTATTGTGGAATACCAAGTTATTTTGATTTCTGTTTAATCCAAATTTTCCAGATTACTGTTGATAGTTGTTCACTGGATTTGCCTCACACGATGACTCTTAAATAAATAGGAATAAGGGAGCCGAACAAAAGATTCCATTGATTCTTATAGTTTTTGGGCTGAAAAAAACTCATCTATTTTCAAGTAGTTGGTTTGCGTCATTGAAAAATTCTGGAGTTTATGGCTAGTGGGGTTTCCTTGCAATTTGCTGTGGTTATCCGAAAGTTGAGTCTCATTTTGGTTTTAGATCTAGTTGTCGCGTCAATTGCAGAAACACGCATGCATATTGAAATCCATATAATTTATATACGGCATTACTTATAACACGGAGAGTGTTCTGTTGATTTCATGGTGTGGAATCTATAACTTGTGATTATTTGGTGGAACTTTGTGCTCTTGCTCCGTTTTAGCATCTAGACTCTGTCCATGGATGCTTAACACTTTTATAAATTTTATTTTCCACGGTTTTGTACATATTTGCAGCAGTTTGACCTTTCCTCCTACTGGGCTTAACTGTTCAACCTTGTTACGTGCTAACAGATCATATCAGCTTCGATGCCTTTCTTTTGCATCTTGTTCGGGTTTTTCTGCCGATGGTTTGACTGAAGCTATCAAAAGGTTTTCTTTGTTTTTCCATTCTGAATTTCCTTCTGAATCTATAGAAACAGTTGGCCGTTCTTGCTCATTGTTGAAATCCTTTTCCTATGGAGCTGCTGCACCTCTTCTTGACAAGAGAGATTACAGAGATCCTAGAATTTTGTGTGATAAAGTGGCAGTTGCAGTCGCGAAAACCATGCCTGGATTGCGTCATCTCGGTCTTTTTGGAAATACTATGACGGATGATGGCCTGCTACACATGCTTAGTGATGGATGGTAAGAAGTGACATGCTTGATCCCCTGATTTAGTATCATTGCTGTTTTCTGTATACTTTGTTTAGTTTGTTGCTCATAATTAACTGAAGTGACCATAATTATGAAGTACTCCTTCCGTGTCAAAATGAATATCCAGTTTGGATTTTTATTTTGGGATAGAAGGAGTAACTGCTATTTGTAGAGTGGTGACATCATGATTTAATGGTCTCATCTTTGCATTGCAGATTATTTATAGATGGAAAATTTCTGGACGTGTTGGTCATATCCTTTGAGTTCTGCGGGGCTGCTTCTGCAGTTGAAGGACACTTGATACTACTTTTTCCTTGCTGGTTTTGGCCCAGTTAATCTTGGAGGGGAATAGAGGAGCTTTCAATTGCTTGTGTATTGGGCTTTTTATTGTAAATACTTATGTTTATGCTTCATCTATGCTTACTTCGGCCTTATTTGAAGTCTATCTACAAACATATTTTAATTTTTGAAGTTGTTCCCAAAACACCAAAATCATGTTTGTTTCATTTACTAAGCAAAACTTGTTTCCCTCAACAAACATTCAAAACAATCTCAATTCTAAAACTATACTCGTTCTCTTATATCTTTTTTAGTCTAACAAAGTTGACTATTAAAGAACTTGAAACATTATGATACTAAGTCAAGAATCAGCATTGCAATTCTCATATTTATCAGTAAATTTTTTAAGGGATAGTTTTAACTAAATTCTAATATTTATATTATCAACATCATTTTTTTTTATACTCGTTCTATCTCAACGAAATAGTCCACTTTAAAATTTAAAATCTGCATTAAAATTACTATAAATCTTAAAAAATCAAAATGAACTATTATTAGGTAGTAATATTTATAAACCCTATGGATTGGTAATTCTATTGGTTGCAACCATACTTTATGGACTGTGGATTAGAATGACCAAATAAAAGTGAACGAACTAAAAATGAGAGATAGAGCAAAAGAGGGATTTGAGAATGATAAATGGAAAGGAAACAGAAATGGGGACTATACAGTAAAGTCAGGATATAAGTGACTACAACGGGAAGGATGCAAATTGCCTGGTGCTATTGTAATCTGGTCTGGATTAAATATTTCCAAGCATACTTTATAGCTTGGCTAGTGTGGAAAAGTAAAATCTAGACCCGAGATAGACTGCCACAATACAACATACCAGTTTCAGATGCTGGCTGTTGTTTGTGCAATGGTTAGCTGGAAACAATTGAACATTTATTCTTTTAGTGTCCTTATTCAGGTGAATTGCTGGGAAGAATTAAACAATGGTTGAGTGTTAGAACACTGTCTATGGAAATGAGAAGATAGCAATGATAGATTCTGCAAATCTGGAAGGGAAACAAACTTAGAGGAAGAATTTATTTGCAACTTTAATTGCTTGTATCTATGACATATGGGAGGAAAGGAACAACATATTCAGAAACAGACAAGAAGCGTGGACATTGTATTTAGTGAAATTCAGCAGATGGTCAGAACTAAGATTAAGGAGTGCAGAAGTAGGAAACTGTTGGCTAAGGAAAGTAGATTCTTAAACAATCTACTGTAACTTGTGTGATCAGTTGTGCTATCTTTTTGAAATTTAAATAGATTGTAAATAGGGTTCTCAAGTAATATATGTCAGCTTACAGTTTTTACCAAAAAAAACTAATAATTTGTGACCACAGGTCATAATAAGAAATAGAATTCCACAATATGGTAATGTACCGTCAGATTAAATAATTAAAACTACAAAGTTTATGTGGTTGTTTTTTAAATCAAGGATACTTATTAATCTACAGAAAAACTTGTTTAGAACTAAAATCCATAACGTATCCATAATATTTTGAAATTGGGGAATGAAACCGCAGAATTTCTGCAAAAGTTGGACTGAAACCGTAATTTTTTGAAATATATGGGCTGGATCCTAATTAAGATTATTGAAGTTATTTTCGGAAATAAAAGGTCCAAGTGAAAATTGGAAACAACGGAAATCCTAATTTGCGATTTGTTCTCCGCCATTTCCACAATCGGAAACTCTCTGTAACTCTGTTCACTGCAGGAGACCCTAACCCACTGAAAATGGTAAGAAAGAAACAGAACTCCAAGATGGTATGGCGGAGAAAGGAAGCGCCGCCTCCGCCGCCTCCACCATGGACAGAGCTTCCGCGGGACTTAATCGCGAATATATTACAGAGGCTGGATGTCGAGATTATACTGGAGGATGCGCAGAGAGTGTGCACTACTTGGCGAAGCGTGTGCACGGATCCTTCCATGTGGCGAAAAATCGACTTGTCTTTAAGAAATGATTATTCTGAATATGACGCGGGAATCATGTGTAAGCACTTGGTCGATCGTAGCCAGGGGCAATTGGCTGATCTTAGGCTTGGTTTTTTCGCCACAGATGCTCTGCTAGCATATATCGCCGAGAGGTAAAAGATTCCATAGCATTTTTTGTTTTGTTTCGTTTTTTTTCCTGGTGTAATATTAGGCTTGTATACCTACTATGCTTTGCTCCATTATTGATGTTCAAATTAGATGTTTACTTGCTTACATACTTGGGAGAAGATACTAGAGGGTTTGGAGGGAGGGATGGACGGAGGGGGTGAATAGAGATTTCGATACGCGGGATAACGTAATCTATAGTGGCTAATTAGTGTACTTTTATGAACGAACTGTTGAGCCTTAAATATGATTTGCAGTTTCCAGTGGCTTGCCGACAGCTATTTAATCTGAGTTTGTGAGATTCGATAGCGTATATCTCGTGGTTGAATAGCTTATTTTGTGTTAGAACTCTTGTGTTATTCTCTTTAATGCAGAAATTTAGGTCCTGCATCTCTTCCCCTTTTTTGTGCTCATGGGCTGTGTTTTGGATGACAGTCCATCACTTGCTTGTGTTGTGCTTTTCATATAGGTGGTTTGCTGCGTTGCAGCATTGAAAGGTTATTGTTCTGTGGGCTTTTTGTACAATTTGGTATGTATAAGTATCCGAAGTTCAGTTTTATTGTAGTGTATGGGAAATTTCTTTCAGAAATAGCTGTCTACATCATTTAGTTGAGCTTTGTGCATGTCACTATTTTAGCATCCTTACATTGTTGATTGATGCATGCCGCTTTTGTCCAGTTTATCAGTATTCATGCAATTAATAAGAACACTTCTTTTTCCCCTTACTGGGCTTAACTGTTTTATCTTGAATCGTGTTAACAGGTCAGGTCAGCTTCGATACCTTTCTCTTGATTCTTGTGATGAAATATCTGGTGATGGTTTGACTGAAGCTATTAAAAGGTTTCCTTTGCTTGAGGAGCTACATCTTTTCCATTCTGAGTTTCCTTCTGAATTCATAGAAACAGTTGGTCATACCTGCCCATTGTTGAAATCCTTTTCCATTGGATCTGTTGCATGGTTTGATGATGATGAGGATATTAGAGATCCGGGAACGGAAAGTAACAAGTTGGCACTTGCTATCGCCAAAACCATGCCTGGATTGCGACATCTTAGTCTAGTTGGAAATACACTGACTAATGAAGGCCTGGTGGCTATTCTTGATGGTTGTACTCACTTGGAATTATTAGATCTCCGTGGGTGTCTTGGAGTTAACCTCGAGGGTGATATCGGTATGCGATGTTCCCAACAGGTCAAATGTGTGAAGTTGCCCAAGGAGTCCATTTCGGATCTTGAAATGTATGACAGTGATGCATTTGAGGATTACAGGTCTCTTTTTTCTGGCCATGACTTCATGTCAGACTATGAAGAAGAATATTTTCACGATTACGAGGACGATGATGACTTTTCGTTTTTGCCGCTGTGGGCAGCACTAGATTCGGATGATGAAGATTTCTTAAATGAAGATTATCTGAGGGATTTGGGGCCGATTATGTGACTTTGAGAAGTCCCAAGCTTAATCCTACGTTTATCATGAAGCTCTCTGTTGAAAGTCTTTAACTAGTTTTAGACTTTTAGTTAGTAGGATGGTGAGACCATTGATGGGGTTTTTCTTTATATCTCGTCAATCCTTTGAACTGCTGGCCTGCTGTGCTAGTCAAAGGACTCTTGATCTTCTCTGTTGCTGGTTTTGGCCTGCTCATTTTGGAAGGAATAGGCCTGCTGCTAAATGCTTTTACTTGCTGTATTGTAAATGCACCGTCGTTTTTGCAGTTGTATTTGTGCTGTATGTATGTGCTTCCCATATGCTTACTGGCTACTCCCTGTGGTTCTAATTATAAGACACAAATTTGAGCCATAAAGAGGTTAATTTGTACTTTATAATTAGGACATTAAGGAATACTAGTCATCAAATTCTCTTTCTACCAGTTACTGTAAACTGTATGGTATTGTGACATTTCCAGAGTTGTGTTTCCTAGGTACGAGTCTTGAGGATATATCTGGGCTGGTAATGAAAGTTTACATCTGATGATGCTATTTGACATGTATATTTTTTTCTAAAAAAAAAATCGGTGTCCATTTGGTGCGTTAGCGTTGTGGAGCATTTGGGGTGTTCCCCCTTTAAAAATCGATAAATTAATAATTAATTAATAAAATTTTTAGAAACAGTACAATTAATATCACTAAATTTGAAAATGATGATGATTGTACAATAACTTTCCGAATTTTTTTGTTTTAATATGAAAAATTTGCACCAGAACTTTTGAAAGCAATAGAAAAAATCAAAGGTAAAATCTCTCAAGAAAAAATATACAGTACGTTTATTATATTCATATTTTACCAATCCTTTTTTTTTTTGTTTCACTATTGTTTTTGATTAGGGAAAAAAAAGAAAAGATTTTAATAGTCACGCCCAAACATGAACTTGGGCTGGCCCAAACAAATTAATGATTTCGTTTTCCTTTTCAGCAGTTTGTATGGAAATGATTTTTTTTTGAATATAAGAATATCCTCGCTCAAAACACTCAAAGGAAAATATGGGGAGAAAGAACTCCAAAACGGTATGGCAGAAGAAGAATTCCAAAATGGTATGGCGGAAAAAGGAGCCGTCTCCGCTGCCTGCACCATGGACAGAGCTGCCGTTGGACATAGCGGCGAACATATTGAAGAGGCTGGATGTGGTGGATATACTGGAGGCTGCACAGAGAGTGTGCACGACTTGGCGAAGCGTGTGCAAGGATCCTTCCATGTGGCAAAAAATTGATATGTCTAAACATACTGGTTACGAAGATTTTGATTCCGAAATCATGTGTAAGCACTTGGTCGATCGTAGCCAGGGGCAATTGGTTGATGTTAGGGTTGGGTTTTTCGGCACCGATGATCTGCTTGCGCATATCGCCGAGAGGTATAATTCAATCCCTTGTTCTTATGTAATTTTCAATCAATTAATTGGTGTTGTTTTGCTTTATGATTTACTAATTGTGCCGTATTAGCTGTTATTGATGTTGCTACCCACTGCCATATGTTTGATTCAGTTTATTACTTCATGTCGTGTCGTGATGTTATTTCCTTACATCTTCCTTCCTGAGATTGAATATAGTTTTCATAATGGATTTACTAATTTATCTTGATCCCTGTTTCTTTCTGTAGAATTTGAGTCCTGCATTTTTTTTCTTTTTTGAGATCTTTGGCCTGTTCACAGTTGGTCATTTGATTGTATTGCAGTTCAAGATTAATGTTTTTTCGTAAAGAGGTTGAGTTTCGTTATGTTGTATGAAGGATTTCTTTCTGAAACAGCTGTCTGCGTCAATGTTCGAAAGCTCTTGTATGCATAGTTGTGGCTGAAAGTTGTTACTACTGACTACTGAGAATCAAGAAATGTAGGATTTTTTTTTTTGGGGGTGTGTGTGTGTGTGTGTGTGTGTTGAGAAACCTGTTTTTTTCTCGATTTCATTTTACGTACTCATTAGTTTGAAAACATGTGGTAGAACCTGAGCACTTATACACGGGGTCGTGACTTTGTCTATGGGCGCTTGCTACTTTTATACATTTTGTTGTCTATAGTTTACCGATGTTCGTGCAAATTGTAGCCCGCATTTTCCTCGTATTGTGCTTAACTATTTAATGTTACACCATGCTGACAGATCAGGTCAGCTTCGATGCCTTTTGCTTGCAAGTTGTTGTGCTATAACTGGCTATGGTTTGACTGAGGCTGTTAAAAGGTTTCCCTTGTTGGAGGAGCTGCACCTTTTTAGTGCTGACGTTCCATCTGAATCCATAGAAATTGTTGGCCGTTCTTGCCCATTGTTGAAATCCTTTTCCTTTGGAGGAGTTGCACCTTTTCCTGACAAGAAAGATTTTAGAGTTCGAGAACTAGAATGTAATAATGAGGCGCTCTCCATCGCAAAAACCATGCCCAGGTTGCAATATCTTGATCTCTTTGGAAATGCACTTACTAATGATGGCCTGGTAGCTATTCTTGATGGTTGTACTCACCTGGAAACATTAGATCTTCGGAGGTGTTTTGGAGTCAACCTCGAGGGCAATATAGGCAAGCAATGTACTCAACAGCTCAAATGTCTGAGGCTGCCCGATGACTCTGTTGAGGATCATGAATATTATGACAGGGATTGTTTTGATGATTACGGTTTTGGCTGGTCTGGGAGTGACGGGTCTGACTTTGATGAGGACCATTATCTCGATTACGAAGACTACGATGACTATTCGCTGTGGGCGGCAATGAATTCTGACTATGAAGATTTCTTTTTGGGTGGACTAGTAATTGATGGTGAGAAAGTGCTTAAGCAATCACCTTTTAATTATCTTCTATTAGTAGGAATGTGATATCACTAATGCTCTTTAGTTTTGCATTGCAGATCATAATGATATCTATTAGATGGATCAAGTCTGCATATCACTAATCCTCTGTACTGAAGATTCAGAGGATTGTCAAACTTTTCTCTTCCTGCCTCATGGTTCCCGGTTAGTGTTGGGGCGCTTCTTGTTGCTTTTGACTGTAAATGCACCGCCAGTTTTTGTTTTTCTACTGTAAGTGCACATCTGATGCCAGTGACGAAACATTAAAGTCCTGGAGCCTTCTTTTATGTTTCTTTGTCCCCTTGAAATAGCCAAATAGAAGTGCTATTTTTTATTTTTTCGGAAAAGAAAGCCCTTTTATGTGTACAGTAAAGTTCAGGAGTGCAGCAATGCTGGTTTGGGATTGCGGGTGATAGTGCTGATGCTGGCGAATTATTATCTGAAGGGGAGTGGATGAATTGAAACCTTAAATGAATGAGGAGCGAAAAAATCCACATTCTCTAAGTTTTGGGCCCTAATGAACGATTAATTTTATAGGCACGTATGACATCAGATGATTCCACTTTAAATTATTCCAGTTTACTTAAGGATTAAACTTCTCTGAGGAAAATAATTTAGAAAAGAAAATGAATACTTCCGTCCTAAACGATTCTCCAATCTTAGATTTCAAGCCTCGTATCAAACGATCTCTGGAATTGTTCTTCCACTGAAAACTTCTACGCCGATCTTGTGTACCGTTAAAACGTCTGATGCGGCCCAGTGATTCCATTGCGGATCTTGAAATGTATGAGAGCGGTGCATTTTATCTTTACCCTTCAAGCCGTGACTTCATGTATGATGGTGTAGATCCCGTATATAAGAATACCTGAGGGATTTGGGAGCTATATTCTGACTTCTTGAAGTCCTCTGTTTCTGCTGCAATCATCTTTAATTAACTAGCTTTTTATTAATATAGGATGGTGGCTTTGTCTATGGGTTTAATATTGCATTGCAGATTATCTATCTCTACCAGTAAATGGATAAATTAATTCTATGGATTGGCCGGAGAAGTACAATTCCAGTTCCCGAGGGCGGGGGAAAGCCCAAAAGGTTAATGTTAGTAAACAACTGTGTTTGTGGACCAGGAGCTGGTTCTGCGATTAGAGTATACTCTAATTCTTCTCCTTTTCCGTCGAATTCCGAAACCGTTCTAATTCTTCTCCGAAGATTTTGGATGCCAAAACCCTAACCCCTGAATATGGTGAGAAAGAAAAGGTCCCGGAAGGAGCAATCGTATGTATCCACTCCGTCGCTCACTCCGTGGTCGGCGCTGCCGCGGGACATCACGGAGAACATCTTGCTGCGGCTGGGTGCGGGGGAGCAACTGAAAACGGCACAGAAAGTTTGCAAGACTTGGCGGAGCGTGTGCGAGGATCCTGCAATGTGGCGGAAAATTGATATGCCTGTAAGAAGTGATGGTGAATTTGACTTGAAAATCATGTGTGAGCATGCCTGTCGATCGTAGCCAGGGGCAATTGGTTGATATTAGGCTTGGCTTTTTTGGTCACCGATGCCCTGCTTTCATATATCGCCGAGAGGTTTGGAAAAAATTAAGAACATTATTTTTGTTTTTTGTTGTATTACATTGTTTGAGAATTACAATGTTTGTTACTCTCCCTGCATATTGTCCCTTTTTGTGATCGTTCACTGTATGCGTACTTGTAATAGTTTGACAATTTCCCTTTGCTGGCGTTACCCGCTTTATTTATGTGCTAACAGATCATGCCAGCTCCGGTGCCTTTCTCTTGCATCTTGTCGTGATATAGCTAATAACGGTTTGATGGAAGCTGTTAAAAGGTTTCCCTTGTTGGAAGAGCTCCACCTCTTCCATGCCGAATTTCCTTCTGATATCATAGAAATGGTTGGCTATAGTTGTCCGTTGTTGTTGAAATCTTTTTCCATTGGAGGAGTTTTTACATTTTCCTGACAATGATTTTGGATATCCAGGAACGGAATGTAATAAAGTGGCACTTTCTATCGCAAAAACTATTGCAACATCTTAGTCTTTTTGGAAATACACTAACAAATGATGGTCTGCTAGTCATTCTTGATGGTTGTACTCGATTGGAATCGTTAGATCTTCGGAGGTGTTTTAAAGTTAATCTCGAGGGTGATATTGTTGAGCGATGTTCTCAGCAGCTCAAATGTCTGAGGTGGCCTAATGATTCTTGAAGTGTATGAGGGCAAGGCATTTGCTGATTAGGGACCTTACTTTTCTGACTCTGACTAGGATGAGGGTTTTTGAGGGATTGTGGAGTGATTTTCTGACTTTATGAATTAGTTTCATACAGGATCGCCGATCACCGGTTTATAATGATGTTTTCCGTTGCAACCATCGTCTTCTAACTTGTTCTTTTTTTCTTTTCTTTTCTTCTCCCCCTTCCGTTTCTGCATATTTTGCTAATCCATCTTTTGAGCATTTAACTGCAAGTTGTTGCACGAGATTGGAGCATTAGTTACGACATTCTTTCCTTGAAGCTAATTTTTTGGCCGCTACTTGTCCTGGGAAGCTTGCAGTGGTTTGACGATCCATCATCTGGAATTTTACAGTGGTTAAAACACAACTTGATCGGGGTTTCCTATCTACGTAATTTAATATTTTAAACTTTTCTAGACTTTTCCTCCTTCCATTGTACCAAAAAAAAAAAAAAATTAATTTAAGAGAAATTCCTATAAAATTTCTAAATTGATCACACCTTTTTTTATTAAATTACGACATCCTTGCCATGAAGCTAATTTTTCGGCGGATTATTTGGCTTCCTTGGCCGCTACTTGTCCGAGAAGCTTACAGTGGTTTGCCGCCTGGAATTTTACAATGGTTGAAACACAACTTGATCGGAGTTTCCTATCCACGTAATGTAATATTTTAAATTTTTTTATACTTTGCCTACTTCTATTGTACCAAAAAAAAAAAAATAATTTAAAGAAATTCCTATAAAATTTCTAAATCGATCATACCTCTTTTTTTTTTTTTCGTATTAACATTAACATTGAGGAATGAGCATAATAAATGGCAATTGTGTCAACTGTCACGTCATTGACATTTTCGAAAATAAAATGACTTACTCTTAATATTAAGCTCGGCGTTTTTGTCTACACTGGTCTGGTTACGAATACTGCCGAAAGGTAAAAGAAATCTATAGCATTATTTTGTTTCCTGTGTATGTTTTGCCTTCTAAACTTGTGTCCATTGTTAATATAGCCGCTTCAAATTAGATGTTCACTGCTTATTTATTTATTTTTGGTTTGAGGGGTATCTTGGCCGTAGGGAGAGAGCCAGGGGAGGAGGGGGTGGGAGTGAGGAAAAGATAGGGTGAAAAGAGTCTGATACAAGGACGGACAAGCTAACATCATCTACCAATTTTAAATTGCACCTTCCCCCATAGCTTTATAGTTTATACCCAAAGCTTTTTAGTTTTTGTGAGATTTAATAGCTCATCTATCTCATGGCTATTAGAATATATATATATATATATATATATATATATATATTTTGTGTGTGTGTGTGTGTGAGAATTACAATGTTATTATGATTGTTTTGTGGGTTTTGCGTGGAATTCGGTATGGGTCTCCAATGTTGAATTTGTTTCCGTTGCGTTAAGACTTTCTTTCAGAACTAGCTGTCTGCCTCACTGTTGAAAAGCTCTTTGGTTTATGGACATAATTGTGATAGAAGGACTTCTTGATGAGAAAAGTCAATAGGGTATTGTGTGCTTGGTACTCTTATACATCCTTCCATAGTTTATCAGTAATAGTCTTAACTTTTCCTTTTACTTGGCCTAACCAATTTATCTGGCACCGTGCTAACAGATCAAGTCAGCCTCGATGCCTTTCTGTTGTAGATTGTGAGTATGTGGATGGTAATGGTGTGACGGAATCTGTGAAAAGGTTTCCCTTGCTGGAGGAGCTGCACCTTTTCCATGCTAAATTTCCTTCTGAAGTCATTGGAGACAATTGGCCGTTGTTGCCCATCGTTGAAATCCTTTTCTATTGGAGGATTTATCAATTCCACCGATGCTGATGTTATAGTTCCCAAAACGGATTGTAAAATAAGGTGGCACTTGCCATCGCCACGACCATGGATTACGACATCTTAGTCTTTTTGGGAGTAGACTGACTAACGATGGCTTGGTATATGTTCTTGATGGTTGTACTCAACTAGAATCACTAGATCTCTGGATGTGTTTTGAAGTTAACCTGGAGGGTGACATTGATAAGCGATGTTGTCGACAGCTCAAATGTCTGAGGCGGCCAAATGACTCCTTTCAAGATCTTGAAATGTATGACGGTGATGTATCTGATAATGATTACGGGCCTTACTGGTCTTTGTCTGACTCTGACTCTGATGATGGTTACTATCCCTATAGCAGCTACGAGGAGAAGTATCAGAATTTTCTTGCGAAGTCCCATTCTTGATCCCCGTTTTCTTGACATCACTTTGGTATTGCAGATATGGATAAATTCTTTATATTTTGCTCGTCAAAGGATTCTCTATCTTTTCCCTTCCTGGTTTTGGCTTATAGGTTTTTGGGGATACTGGAATAGGGCTGCGGCTAATTACTTTGATTTTACCTTTTGCCAGCAAGCTACGAGGACTTGCTTGATTTTATTTATTCATTTTTAAGAGATCGGAAAGGGGCATTTATACATGTTTTAAAAAGTTCTTTCAGATCGTTTTTGGTGCAAGATATTACTAAACTGGTGGTAGTTTGCCTATGAAAGTTGCCAAAGAGGAGAGCCTTTCTCTCTCTCTCTTTTTTTTTTTTTTTCAATTTTTGTTGTCAAAAAGTGCCAATTTTGATATATAAACATGTTAAAACTGTTAACCACTAAGAATATTGTAAAACTTAAAATTTGCTTATGGGAATTTTTAACCACTCAATGAGAATTTCTTAAGTTAAGGTACTTACACTCAGTTATTCTTCGTGGAAGTCGAATCTGTGTTCTATGACTAGTAGCATTAGCTAAGGCAAATGAATCTCACAAATCACATCAACATTCAATAATGAATCTCACAAATCAAATGCAACATTCAATACCCGTCTATAAGAAGGTTCATTCTCTCTGTTACTCTGTCCGAAAAAGGAAATAGAAAAAAATAAACATAAACTTTTGTGTTTATACTATTTTCTGTATAAGGAAAGCAAAATGTTGATAGAAAAAAAAATAGTTTTGTTGACAATATGTTATAAAATTAATGGTAAACTGCTAATATGAAACTAAACATAAAAATAAAGAGGAAAGATAAGAGAGTAGAGAGAGATAAAAGACTTGTATTCAGATGTATTTTGAATTATGAATGGGCTCTCTATTTATACAAGAAGTAAGGGATCAAACTGTGGGAAATGAATCACCTATCATTAATGCAAAATATTACAGAATCATATCTTCTTATTGTGAATAGAATAATACATGTTAATTATGGACATTTAATCAAATCAAATCAAATATTTTATAACACCCCCCTTTGAATGTCGATCTTTGCGGAATAATGCCTCGTTAAAACCTTACCAGGAAAAATCCTTTGGGATAAAATCCTGGTGAAGGAAAAAGAGTCCACTTCCGAATGTGACCTCACCTCATTAAAAACCATGTCAGGAAAACCTATTGGGACAAAACCTCGATTAAGGGAAAAAGAGTACAGCGTGAGTTACTCCATGTTAAGTACACCACTTGTAATCTTCTCGTTGCATGCCAAGCTATTGACCAAGTTCATGATTGTTTAAGTCAATGATAGACAGATTACTTCGACTTCTCATGTAGACAGTTATCTTCATATACCTGTATAATCTTTGAGTGTTTTATAATAATGGAGATGCATGACCATCATACCTTGAAGGTATCAATATACACCATCCAAGTCTTGACTAATTGATTAGATAAACCGAAACTTTATATGGTATTTCAGGACCAAATCGGTCTACATCATTAATAGAAAGTCAAGAAGAAGGATCTACATGCACATTAAGATTTTAATCAAGTGCGCTCAACGGGTGTTGAATATACAAAGGTCAAACTATTTAGACCGAGATTCTACTCAAGATCTTTCATTATCCTTACTTCAGGCAAGATCAAAACTTTGACATAACTCTTCAGGAGTTTAACTTATATTCAGGCTTTTCGAACTTTGTGATAAGCTTCGATAATATTTAGCCTTTTGAAACTCTACAAGAGTTCATTGTTAACAAAATTGTAATGCACACATGGCTTATGAATACTCACTCTAGTATTAGTTATCATCATATCATTCAAATATGACCATAAAAACAGATAGAAAATTATGTTACAAACAAACATAATATATCTAGATAGAAACAAACATAGCATATCTATTATATTCAAAAATATGAACCTAAATATCTAGACCCATGAAGGCACTATAACTTGTGCAAATCTTTTGAATTAATTTCTCTAGAATAAGTACCATGTCCCCTAATGAATCCTTCAGGGATTTTGTGAAGACATCATTATCAAATGTCACGTATTAAGTATCAAGTGATCACTATATTAAAAAGAAGTATTTTTCATATCTTCATTTACTGCTAGATACAGTAAAAATTGGAAGAATTTTTATTTTCATCCACCACAAGAGAATATATCTTCTAATGATTAACATCCAGATTTTGAAAAAACTTGTGCAATAAGTTGGTCGCTCATCAACATTTTGCACAATCACCCAACAATATTTAGCCGGTGTATCACTGGCCAAAACTTCTAGCCTTTCAAAGAGTTTTAATTCAACTTACACATCTTCAGGTGTGTGTATCGCATCTTTTCCTTTATTGTGGCCAATAAGTTTAATGTCTGTACTCAAAACAGACTTTCATGATCCTCATTTATTTCACTAATTGCTGCAGCATATTCAAACTTCATGTCGACATTTTATTTCTGATTGATTCCATGTTATTCGGTAATGAGATCTCACAATCATTAATATTCCCAAGTATTCATATACTTGTTCTGGAAGTTAATTCACTATAATGAGAAAATATTCCAATTTAAAATTCTTATGAATTATAATTACTCATATTTGCCATCTCTATAGATTTAAACCTTGTCATTTACGAGAATTTTTATCAATTAGAATATGTGCTTCTACCACTTATTAAATGGACATTCAACTAAGAAATAGTGGTAGGTAGTCCTTCAGGAACACATTATCAAATTATAAGTTTTAACAGCCTTTTATATAAGATATATTTATACATTCGGTCAGGTAACATCTGGTCTTAAACATTATCTCTTGAACTTCAGGTTCATATCATCGAGGATCATAATGAGATAATTACATTGTCCATCTGATTTTATAAATAGGCTGTTTTAACTTTTCCCCTTGATGTTAGGATAACTAACTCGCTAAAATAACGATTAACCAATCGAGTAGTTAATAAATCTCCCTTTCGGAGTAACTAACTCGTCAAACTAATATGATCAGTCCATCGAGTATTCAATCCAACATCAATAATCTCAAACATTAGAGATTCAATGTTCAACATATATTTCTGACCTATTCTGAAGGTTCCATCATTGTTGCATTGTGGTGGAATAATTATAAATATAGATTGCACATATAATCTTTGAAGATGGATATGTATGGTTTCTGACCGAAAATCACTGTTGGGGGGGATATCTGCAATGACATGTTTGGTCTTATGCATATAATTGGTGCCTTTTGTGTTTCGACACTTCCTCAACTATACACGAGGTAATTACTTTAATTGCACACATACAATAAACGATTCTACTAGACCGTTTCATTATAGCTCTTATAGGCACTCAATTTTCAACTTCTATCATTCTTGTATTGAGTCATACACTCACCAAAATTGTCAAATCAAAATTCTCGTAAGAGCAGAACATCAAAATTGGCAAGTTACCAATTTAACTCTATAATAAATTTCTGCAAACTTCAGGTTGCAAATTAACGAGAATCATACATGTGCCTATCTCATCGACATATCGATTGATATTCTAATTTGTTGGAAGAAACTCTTGGTTCTCCAAATTTAATGCATATAAACTTTTTTATTTCGTCTTGAAACTAGAATGACTTAAGTAGTTATGCCAAATTATAGAATTTCTCTTATGGAGAAAAATATTGAATTAATTATTCAAATATACCAGAACAATTTCGCTCCACATGAGCGTTTACTCTGACAGAGTATTTGTTATTCAATTATTTTTATTCTACCATAGTGTTCTTGCTCTTTTGAAAGCAAAGTGTATCGCTACTCTGCTGGAGACAACAATAAATTTTCAAATTCAAAATAGTAGTGTTGGTAGAGTAATTTACATCCTTCTTTGATACCTTAGAGAATATAATGTATCTCAATGTCCTTTCTCCTTCTAACATTCTCTTGCTCTTTTAGGAGCAAAGTTTGTTTACTATTGCTCTTCCAGAGGCAATGATGAATTATTATATTTTCTTTTCAGGAGCATTTATTTGTTTTCACTCTCTGGATTACTCTACGGAAGTTTTCATCTATTTTTGCAGAATAATTCAATGGCATATGTTCTACTGGAGCTTTTAATTGATTTTATGTTGATCATTGACTAACATCCTCTTCAGAGCGATTAATAAAATTCACAATACCCACAGAGGTAATATGAGTTGCACTATGTGCAAAGCATACTTTTTGATATGAATCTTTATTTGATGCGCGATTATTACGGAAGCTTGACTTGAAAAGTTGCCCGAATGTTTGAATCTCTGTATAACCACAAAGTAAAACCTATGAAAGCACACAAACCAGCTGGACCAACAAAAATCCAAGCTAAAAACGAGATGGAAGGGAAGGAAAGATGGAGAAGGTGTTTAAGATTTGAAACCCTAGTCAAAACGACCAGAAGCTCCCTACACGTTATAGATCAACGTTGAAAGGCTTAGTGTGCTTAATTAAAATGTCAAATAAAGCATCCACAGACCAAGAACACTTGAAAACTTGTCCAAGGTTAGCTACGTTTCAAGAACAAACCCTAGTTTGTTGGAAAAGCAAGTTATTCTCGCAAGAATAAGAAAACAAGGGGATCTCACAAGTTTATGAGTAAAAGTTTTTATTATTGAAGTCATATCATATTTTATGTAAAATTCACGACCAAGGTCCCTACTTATAGGCCAAGGAGCTGCCTAGGTCGGCCAATATAAAGAGAAATCTAATTTGAACTCTTATTACTCCCTAATTACTCCCTCCGTCCCATAAAAAATAGTTCAGTTTAAAAAAAAAGTTTGTCCCAAAAAAATAGTCCAGTTTCACAAAAGTCAAAATTAATTAAATTGAAATGACTTAAACATCCAAAAGAGTGGTGGTAAAGAAAACAAAGTTCACTTCTTTTGATTTTTATTTTTTTTAGTTTTCTCCCATTTTTTTTAGTTATATATCAAACTAATCTGTGTAACGAGATCTTTCTATCAAGATCTATTGTCAATATTTTTTAAGATAAAAATTTTGATCAAATTTAAGTTGTAAAATAAATGTATATGCAGTTAACTTTTATAAAAATAACTACAAGGGGCATTAGTGGAAGTTGGGGACATAAAATGAGTTGTATATTTGGTGTATTGACTAAATTAAAAAAGTTATATATTTTCAAACTGGATTATTTTTCTGACACGGAGGGTGTAAGGAAACCATTTTTTTTGTTTTGGGTAAGGAAACCGTTTTCAATTAAACGCAGTTCGCGTGGAGTACTGAGTACTACTGTACACGATTTAAGGTGATAACTGATAAGTATGTTAGCCGAAATTATAATAAATCCATTTTGGGAAGATTAAGAGTAATTTTTTTTTAATAATAAAGTGTATATCTATAGTATTATACAAAGAGACAAACCAGAGAGAGAAAACAAAAAAGAATTCTAAAGGTGCCACATAGGATAAATTTCTATTGGTTGAGTCAAAAAATATTTACAACAATTATACTAATAGTCCTTCAAATTTTATGTAAATAAAGTTTTATCAAATGGCATTTAAAACTATAGTTTAAAATAGGAAAATAAAAATTAATTAAATTTAATGGACGGGATTAATGAATATTAATGCACCAGAATTATTCCCTCCCAAAAATAATCCCCCAATTAGTATTAATTGATTGATTTAAATTATAAGTTCAAAGGGATAAGGAATTTATTATTTTCAACATTAATTCACCGGGATTTTTTATCCCAACCAATTCGAATAAAAAAAAATCTCTCTACAAAATAATTCCTAAAATCACTACTTGATTGATTTAAAACCTAAGTTCGACGTGCGAGAAAGTGAGAATTCTTTAGTAATTAAAATCTAATCAAATTTAATTGAAAAAGACTAATCAACATTAATGCAATGGAAGTCATTTCCCCACCAATCTTATCCCTTAATCAACGTGACGTTATCATCCTTATTCCATAGTTATGAATTTTACTTTAGTTACTGGTTATCATATCTTATTCAGACATTCATTATAAATATCCACTTCGGTCTAACTCTTACATGTACAATGACAACCGGTGAAATACTGAAGCGAAGCATCTTATATACTTTATAAAACATCTTTGCGGCGAAGACCTCACTCCGATCATGTTTTATTTAACATGTAAGGTGTCTCTTTCTCCAATTGTGTGCAATCTTGATTAACATGCGTTTTTAACCGTGTAGACATAAATTGCTTTGATTTATATGACATGTAACATCTGATTTATTATTTTGGTGGTCTTTTTTTACTTTTATTTGTATATAATCCTTATATATATTCCATTATTTAATTACATTTTTGGCATACAATTTATAAAATGTTGTCATTTCAAAGTATATATAATAATTTTATTTATCACGATCTAATTTAATTTTAATCACATATTTATTATTACAAACTAGTTACTTTATTTGTATTAATCACATTTAAAATTTAAAAATATATTTTAATAGATGTATATGTATAAATCCTGCGTATCGAGCGGAATTAACATTTAGTGTACAGTAGTACTTCTTCATTTGGGGGGGGGATTTTGAAGGAAGAGCTACCACGTGTCAATTCGGGAGGGAGCCAGGCTTTTAATGCACACACACATTTTGATATAAGTAACCTCCAAATTCCTTCCAATTCCTCCTCAGTTGGAAAAAGACCTCGGGAATTCCGAATGGAGAGAAAGAAGAAACCGCTCAGAACGGAGCAATCCGACTCACCCACTTCAGCGCTGCCGCCTCCGCCGTGGACGGAGTTGCCGGCGGACATAACCGCCAACATTCTGCGGCGGCTGAGTGTGGCGGAGATACTTGAAAACGCACAGAAAGTGTGCACGACTTGGCGGAGCGTGAGCAAGGATCCTGCCATGTGGCGAAAAATCGATATGTCTCAAGGGAAAGATCGCGCTGCCCGGATCATGTGTAAGCAGGCGGTGGATCGTAGCCAAGGCCAACTAATTGATCTCAAGATTGGTTTTTTCTGCGACGATGATCTGCTTGCATATATTTCCCAGAGGCAAATTTCAATTAAACCGCTTCTTTTTACGTGCCTTGTTAAATTATCGTCGGTGCCGTCCCAAAATTGACGGTTACTTTGCTTACTTTACTTTGATTTCTCATTGCTGCTGCGTGACAAATCCCCTGCTTATCCCTCTGTAACAAAGAATTTAGGTTCTGCTTTTACTTTTTTTTTTCTGGGAATCTCGCATGTTATCTTTGTTGATGGTAGCACGTGATTGTCTAGGGCTCTTTCATGTGCTCCATCAATCCCAAAATTATCTGCTTTTTTTTTTTGGTTTTTGTTTTGGGTCAGAGGACCAGTTGGTTTGCAGTATTGCAGTGTTGGAGGATTTCTGTTTTGTGGGCTTTCCTTTCAATTTGAATTTGCTTATGTTGTCCCAAGTTTGATAGTTTGTTAAACATCCATGTTTTGGACAGAAGGTTCTTATTAGTACTTGGAGAAGGCATAGCCATGTAATTTCGCTATGCCAGGGACTTCAATTTTATTGGGCCTAACCTTTTAATCTCGAACATCTTAACAGATCAAGTCAGCTTCGATGCCTTTTGATTGCATCTTGTGTTGCTCATGCCATATCTGGTAATGCTTTGGCTAATGCTGCAAAAAGGTTTCCATTGTTGGAGGAGCTGCACCTTTTCCATTCTAGAGTTCCCTCTGAATCCCTAGAAATCATTGGTCGTTCTTGCCCGTTGTTGAAATCCTTTTCTCTTGGTGGAGCTGCACCTTTTTATGCCAAGGATGATTTTGTGGAACCGGAATGTAATACCGAGGCACTCGCTATAGCGAAATCCATGCCTGGATTGCGACATCTAACTCTTTTTGGGAATGCAATGTCGAATGTTGGGCTGCTAGCTGTTGTTGAGGGTTGTATTCACCTAGAATCATTAGATCTAAGGAGGTGTTTTCGAGTTAACCTTGAAGGTGATATAGGTAACCAATGTTCCCAAAAACTGAAATGTCTGAAGCAGCCTGATGACTCCATTGCAGATCTTGAGTATCATGACTCTGATTCATTTGATGTTGAGTATGAGGAAGGCTTTTACGGCTGCGATTGGGATTATCTTCGGATGACGATGGCACCTTTAACGAAGGCATCTACATAGATTATTACAGTTTATGAAGTCCCATGCTCTGGTTCCCCGGATCATGACAATAATCTCTCAGTATGATTGTTGAGTTTCATGTTCAAAATAAACTGAAGCAATCATCTTTTAACTAGTTTTTTAATTAGTTAATTAGTTGCAAGTTATCTATCTTTAAAAATCGTTGAACCTTTGAGCTGCAGGCCTGTTGTAGTCGAAAGCATGCTCGAACTTTTTTTTTCTTGTTTTGCCGTTTTGGCCTGTTTGTTTGGGATGGAAGATTTTTCTTTCTTTGTAAATTGCACGGTGGTTTCTCTTTGCTATTGTTTTTGCATTACTGCATACTGTGGATGTGGAGTTTAATCATTTATGCACCCAGTAAATAGTTGGGCGCTCATAAACAGGGATTAATCCGATACAAAAGGAGAAGCTGAATTCGTTAAACACTTTAGATTAGACATATGTTCAGCTTAATAGATTTAAATTTGAATTTGCGACTTAAAAACCTCTTAGCTTTGTTTGTTTCATTTTTTTATGATTTTTTAAAATTAATATATTCGTATCCCAGTATACTTTTTTATATTTTCAACACATATTTTTACATTTTCAATACAAAAAACACCTAAAAACACACACAAAAAAAACCAAACAAACATACCCTTAATGTTTAATCTTTTTTTAAAAAAGTGGTCTAACAGTAATCAAATTCTTTAAGCTAAAATAATCTCTTGAGTGAATAAGTTTCAAAAGACTAAGAAATAAACACAGGAGCTTGAGCTTGGGCTGACCGCTGACCCCAAAGATTAATGTCTTTGATAATTACCCCTTTTCCGTGTGATGGAAAAAGAATTATCAAAAGGATTTTGGAATAATCCAAGCGTTCTCCCACCATTTCTTTGCTTCCTTCCAAACCGGCTCTGGAAATTCTGCATACCCACCGAAAATGGTGAACATGAAAAAATTCTGAATGGTTTTTTGGAAGAAGGAACAATCCAGCGCAGCCACTTCGACGCCATCTCTGCCGTAAACAGAGCTGCCGCTGGACATAACGGCGAACATACTGGGCTGGCTGTGGTGAGGATTCTGCAGACTGCTCAGAAAGTGTGCACTACTTGGCGAAGCGTATGCAAGGATCCTTCCGTATGGCGAAAAATTGATATATCGGATGCAGAAACTGAGAAATATGATGCGGAAATGATGTGCAAACACGCTGTGGATTGTAGCCAGGGGCAATTGGTTTACATAAAAGTATAAACTGAAATTATTTTGGGACGAATAATTTATTAATTTTGTTCTGAATTGATTAGCATGTTTGTTTTATAACAATTAACTAGATGTTTGGCCAGGCATATGCCCGGGCGTCCCTTCTAAATTACTATTTTATTAAAATCTAATTGAATTACTATTTTTTGAAGAATTAATTTGGCGTATATATCATTTATGCTATGGTTTGGGGCTTAAAAAAATATACCTATAAATCTGAAGTTATAAGGGAATAATAAGTAATTCGTTTATAAGGCATTATTCTTAATTGTTGGATTTAGGTATTTTTATTTTCTGTTTATATTAAGCCTGCAAAACTATACGATTGGACATTTGAATTTGAATTAATATATCCATTCGTTTGAAATGTAACTGATCCTTATTTGTAGTAAAACATGTGTTTTTTTTTAAAAAAAATTATATAGCTTCTAATTAAAAGAGACTTATACGTGGCAAAAAGACTCCTGAAATCTGAAATATGGTGCATTGGAGCCAAAACAGATGCATACGTAGTTGCCACATAAGTTTCATGTCTTCTGCTTTAATAGGGTAAAAAGGGATAATACGTTTTTTTTTAAAAAAATAGAATTACTAAAAATAAAAATTTGTATTGGATAATTATTCATATTAAAACAAATAAAAATTTAAATCGAATAATATTTTTGGACCGAAGAGTATAAAAACTGGATATTCATTTCGGAAAGAAGAGAATAGTGAGCTGATAGTACCTCTCACAACCTTTTTTCTCCCACAATCGTTTTTTTTTTTTTTGGCGTGTTTTTTAATTTCCTTTAAAATAGCCAAAACTGGAGAGCAATTTTCTTTTTCCGGTATGCAAAAGAAGTTCCATTTGGTTTAGTATTCTCTTTGTTTGGTTTTTTACTCTTTTTTTAAAATCTTTTTTCCAAAATAATTTAATAATAAATTTTTTTATCTTAACATACTTTACAATACACTTTATTTATATTTTCGATAACAAAAAACACCTAAAATCACGCACTGAAAAACAACTCAATTATTTCGATTTTAGTAAAAACTCCAACTTTGATCCCACCAATAAGGGCGCCTTCTACCCTGAGAAGCAACTCAAGATCTCAAGCAAGTACATGGGTCATTTTAACCGGTCAATGCGAATCTTTTCTAACCTAAGGTTCCGATGGTGGATAATTCTTCGTGGACTGGGAAGTAGTAGTAGGAGTGTAGAACCTAAAACCATGAGCATCAATTCTAATTTTAGTGCATCCATTTGAGGAGAAAAATAAAAGACACAATAAAGGTTCAACAATGTGGGGTTTGAAAGGACTAAAATTGATTACCGTTTTTGTTTGAAAATACTTGTGTTTGTTAGACTACAATCATACATTTTCAGAAGTGTAACCTATACAATAGTATTTTCTTAAAACAATAGAATTAGTGATAGTATAATTATTTTTTTTAGAAAAATAATATTTTTTAGTAGGACATGTTACCACGTGTCAATTTGGGAGGGAAAAGACTTTTGATGGTAATCGTTATATATATATACTAGATGCTTGGCCCGGGCAGATGCCCGAAGGCCCCTCTACTTTAATTTTGTGTTAATAAATAAATGAATTTTTGATTTGGAAAAAATAAAATAGCTACACATTTGGTTTTTTTCCCTTTTTTAGCCAAAAATAAAAATAAAAATAAAAAAATCATCTGCCAAATGAGAAAAAATATTGAAAAGTACAACGATACAGAAATCATACAAAATAATGTGAAGTAATAAAGGGGATAAGTTTATGGGCAAATTTAAATGCTATTTTAATTTGATTGATAAATGATAAATGTTATGAGTTAAAATTGTGTAGCTATTTTTGTAAAGTAGATTTTGTTTTTCCGGATAAGAATTTTTTTTCTTTTAAAAAGGAATGACACGTGGCAGAATGGTTAATGCAATATGGTGCATTTGGAGCCAAAAATTTTTAATAAGAATCTGCCACATCAACATCCTGTATTCTACTTTAATAGGGTAAAAGGGATATAACCCAAACCCGAAAAAAATGTCGTTCCTACCCAAACCTTTACCCTCGTCATCAATCATACCTAATAGATTTTCAGTTAGCTAACTTTACCCTAATATTTAAAATTTTTGCCAATTTCGTCCAATCGGCCCATTTTCCGTCCAAATTAATGAATCTCTGTTAGTATTTAAATAAATTAATAAATTTAATTACAAAAACACCCCAATAATTTTTAAAAATTTTAAAAATTTTCTCTCAACTACTTTTAATGACCATAAAAGTCTATTATATGAGTTTTAAAAAAATATTTATTTATTTTCAAACTCTACCGTAAAAATTAATTTTTGTATAGTTGTAACCTATGATTGTATTTATATTAGCATGTTAATTTTTTTAATAATATAGTTTAGCAGTAAAGACACTGTTTTTCTGATTTATTGTATTCTTCCTAACATAAAGACTAAAATTATTTAAATGAAACTAATATTCCACATAAAAATAAAATATTAACTCAAATAAAAAATATTAATATATTTTTGTGTATTACAATTTAATTCAAGAGACTATAACTTGCATTAATATAATTTATGAAAAAATAAATGAAATATAAAATAATAAAGACACTATTTTTCTGATTTATTTTATTCTTCCTAACATAAAGATTAAAAATATTTAAACGAAACTAATATTCCACACAAAAATAAAATATTAACTCAAATAAAAAAATATTAATATATTTTAGTGTATTACAGTTTAACTGAAGAGACTATAAATTGTATTAATATAATTCATAAAAAAATAACTAAAATATAAAATAATTAAAACCTTAAAAAAATCCTTCAAACATAAGTTTTCCTTCTTAAATCTAAAACCTATTTTCTATCACAACAACTTATTACCATATTGTTACCTCCATTCATTTATTTGAAACTAAAATCATATAGAATAAGCTAGTAAGACTTCCTCCATAGTTAGATATATTAACATCTCAAATAATTATTACAAAATGTTAAATCCTCGCATTGATAAGTATAAACATATTTTTTATAAATTATAATATGACATGTAGTATCTCTAGTTAATTTGTAATACACTAAACTATACTAATATATTATTTTTTATTTGACCTAATATTTTATTTTTATGTGGAATATTAGTTTCATTTAAATGTTTTTAATCTTTATGTTAGGAAGAATAAATAAATCAGAAAAATAGTGCCTTTATTGCTAAACTATATTATTAAAAAGATTAACACGCTTATATTAATACAATCATGTGTTACAACTATACAAAGATTAACTTTTACGGTAGAGTTTGAAAATAAATAAATATTTTTTTAAAACTCATGTAATATACTTTTATGGTCATTAAAAGTAGTTGAGAGAAATGGAACAAAATAGAGAAAAATGAAATAAAAAAAGTAAAAAGGACTATATTGTCATTTTAATATATATTTAAGGGTTATTTTTAAAATTTTTACAAACTACTGAGGTGTTTTTTGTATTTAAATTTATTATTTTATTAAAAAACTAACGGAGATCCATTAATTTGGACGGAAAATTGGCCGATTGGATGAAATTGGCAAAAAATTCAAACATTAGGGTAAAATTGATTAACCGAAAATCTATTGAGCATAATTAACGACGAGGGCAAAGCTTTGAGTAGAAACGACATTTTTTTCCACCCAAACCCCAACTATATTTCTTCACTTTGGAAACGTCCCGGGGAATTCTCATGTGCTGAAATCCTACTCTCTGTAAAATCGGGAGAAAGGAATTGTTTAGAAAAACAATGATACAGACATTAACAAATTATAGTAAAATGAGATAGAAATTAATGAAAAAATAAATAAGTCATTCTCACTAAATATGTATAGTTATTTATTAAGGGTAAAGTGTAATTTCAGGCATGAATAAAATTTTAACGGAAAAGTTGCAAAAAAATAAGGGCCAACAATTATTTACGTCACTTACTATTTTTTTTCACTTATTTTTTCACTATGCGTATATCATTTTCCAGTTGGTATCTCCGAAAACGAAGCAACCCGACGCATCCTCTTCAGCGCCACCGTATCCACCGTGGGCAGAGTTGCCGCGGGACATAACGGCGAACATATTGCAGAGAGGCTGGGTGTGGTGGAGATGCTGGAGAATGCGAAGATGGAGCGTGTGTAAAGATCCTACCGTGTGGCGGGAAATTGATATGTCCGACTGGATTCCCTGTTGATGGGGAATCTTGTGTAAGCAGGCGGTCCATCTGAGTCAGGGGCAACTGGTTCATCTTAGGATGGGCCGTTTCGCTGCCGGTGGTCCCCTCTTGGCCTTTGTCGCCGAGAGGTAAATACTAATATTTTTCACTTACTTTGTATGTTTTGGTCAACAATTAATGGTGCCATTCGAAATTGACGATTATTTGATTACCTTCTACTGATTGCTGTTGCCCTGTTTCTGTTTGTGAAATTTAGGGTTCTGGGGGTTGGAGGAGGGACTGTACTTTGGTTCATAGGTCAATTGATTGTGTCGTGCTTTTCATGTTGTTGGTTTGCTGTATTGGAAGTTTATTGTTCGATAGGTGTTCCCTGCAATTTTTATTTTTTATTTTTTTTAATCTTGTACTCAATCAGCTAGAGCTTAGTTTTAATAAGATCCATAAGTGTGACAGAATTTTGTTAGTACTTGGAGAAGGCATGGCCATGTAAATATGTCATTACGATCTCCTGTTGTGGGCTTTTTAGTTTTGCACTCTGCAAATAGATCTGGTTAAATTTGATGCCTTTTGTTTGCATCTTGTGTTGTCTTATATGGTTATGCTTTTGTCCATTGTTGTTGCAGCCGCTTCTAAATTGACCCTTAACTGTATTGTGATTTCTGTATTGGATGGGGGACTGTATTTTGGTTGAGAGTCGTTTCACTTGATTTGCCTTGTGCTAGTTGAAGATTATTGTTTTATGGGTGTCCTGTGGAATTTAATTTGGATTGTTTAGTTTTGGAGGGGATAAGGGAGCTGTTAATTACACTTTTGTTGCATGTCTATGTAACTGCACTGTCGTTCTCACTCGACCTGCTAGTTCAAAAAATGATGGTTATTTCATTTGTTTGTCTACTTTATTGTATGTATATGTATACGACACCACTCTAATTCTAGAGTGCATCTTTGCTAAGGGTAGTGTGTTTATCTACCTATTACCTTCCAAGAGAGCGCGGAGGGAATTTGTACTTGCTGCATCCTGGCAATGGGACACGATTTTATAGAACCAAAAGCAATGCGTGTTTTTTGTTTTTTTTTTTCTCCTAATATGGCATATATACACTGCAAATCTGCAATGGAGGGAGTATAAACTTTAATTTGAGTAACCTAGAAATGTTAATTTGGTTTTTGATATAAGTAGATTTGAATCGAAGCTGATAAATTGGCTGTAAGCAGTGTAACTATAATGTGGTATGGATACTTTTTTTTAATTATTTTTTTTTAATTTTTTGCATTTTTGGGTAAGGAAATCGTTTTCGATTAAGCGCAATTTGTGGAGAGTACTGAGTACTATACACGATTTAAGGTGATATTTATGTTAGCCGATAAGGAAAATATCTATGTTGAGTAATGAAGATATTAACTCCACTTTGGGAAGATTAAGAGTATTTTTTTAAAAAGTAAAGTACTTTAAGTAGTAATGACAGTGTATACTTCTTCATTTTGGGGGTGAAATGAAGATATTAACTCCACTTTGGGAAGATTAAAGAGTATTTTTTTAAAAAGTAAAGTACTTTAAGTAGTAATGACAGTGTATACTTCATTTTTGGGGGTGAAATTTTGAAGGAAAAGCTACCACGTGTCAGTTAGGGAGGGAAGGGACTTTAATGTACCCGGATTTTGATATAAGTAACCTCAACAACCCACCAATCCTTCCAATTCCTCACTTGGAAAAAGACCTTGGGAATTCCGAATGGTGAAAAAGGAGAAACCGTTCAGAATGGCTTCTCGGAGAAAGGAGCAATCCGACTCATCCACTTCAGTGCTGCCTCCACCGTGGACTGAGTTGCCGGTGGACATAACCGCCAACATCCTGCAGAGGCTGAGTGTGGAGGAGATACTTGAAAACGCACAGAAAGTGTGCACGACTTGGCGGAGCGTGAGCAAGGATCCTGCCATGTGGCGAAAAATCGATATGTCTCAAGAAAAAGATCGTGCTGCCTGGGTCATGTGTAAGCAGGTGGTGAATCGTAGCCAAGGCCAATTGATTGATCTGAAGATTGGCTTCTTCTGCGATGATGATCTGCTTGCATATATTTCCCAGAGGTAAATTTCAATAAAACGCTTCTTTGTATGTGCTTTGCTGAATCATTGATGGTGCCGTCCCAAAATTGACAGTTACTTGCTTACTTTAGTTTGATTTCTGCTGCGTGACAACTCCCGTGTTTATCCAGGGCATTTTCTAGGTTCTGCTTTTACTTTTTTTCTTTTTTTTGGGGGGGGATCTCGTTCGTTATCTTCGTTGAGAGTATCACTTTATTGTCTAGTCCTTTTTCATGTGCTCCCTTGATCCCAAAATCATCTGCTTGCTGTATTTTTTGGGGGTTTTTTTTTGTGGTTTTGGGACAGAGGAGCATTTGGTTTGCTGTATTGCAGTGTTGGAAGATTTCTGTTTTGTGGGATTTCCTTTCAATTTGAATACGATTATACTGTCCCCAATTATTAGTACTTGGAGAAGGCATAGCCATGTAATTATGCATGCAATGACTTCAATTTTATTGGGGTTAACTGTTTAATGTGGCACCATCTTAACAGATCAAGTCAGCTTCGATGCCTTTTGATTGTATCTTGTGTTGCTGATTACATATCTGATAATGCTTTGGCTGAAGCTGCAAAAAGGTTTCCTTTGTTGGAGGAGCTGCACCTTTTCCATTCTTTAGTTTCCTCTAAATCCCTAGAAATCATTGGTCGTTCTTGCCCATTGTTGAAATCCTTTTCTCTTGGTGGAGCTGCACCTTTTTATGCGAAGGATGATTTTATGGTTGTGGAACCCGAATGTAATGCCGAGGCACTCGCTATAGCAAAAACCATGCCTGGACTGCGACATCTAAGTCTTTTTGGGAATACAATGTCGAATGTTGGGCTGCTAGCTATTCTTGAGGGTTGTATTCACCTGGAATCATTAGATCTAAGGAGGTGTTTTCGAGTTAACCTTGAAGGTGATATAAGTAAGCAATGTTCCCAAAAACTCAAAAGTCTGAAGCAGCCTGATGACTCCATTGCAGATCTTGAGCATCATGACTCTGATTCATTTGATATCAAGTATGCGGATTACTTTGGCGGCTACTGTCCGGGTTGTGGATTAACTTCCGATGACGATGATTAGGCACCTATATGGATTATTATAGTTTATGAAGTCTCCTGTGCTCTGGTTCCCGGATCATGATGACAATTTGACAATCTTTCAGTATGATTGTTGAGTTTCATGTTCAAAATAAACTGAAGCAATCATCTTTTAACTAGCTTCTTATTAGTTAGGTGCAGATTATCCATCTTTGATCGCTGATCTTTGAGCTGCAGGCCTGTTGTAGCCAAAGGATTCTCGGACTTTTTTCTTCATCGTTTTGGCCTGTTTGTTTTGGATGGAAGAATTTTCTTTCTTTGTAAATTGCAATGTCGTCTCTCTTTGCTATTGGTTTTGCATTTTGCATACTGCATAAGGTGGATATGGAGTTTTATCATTTATGTATGCAGTAAATAGCCGGAATGTTGGATGTTCACGGACGGGGGCGAATCTCAATCCTGATAATATTGTGTTCCAGTTATATACAACTCAGATAATCGCTAAAAAAAAAAAAATGAAGAGAGAAGTAATTATAAAATGGAACTTATAAACCTCTTGAATTTTATTTTATTTTAATTATAAAATGGAATAACAGTAATCAACCTCTTAAAATTTAATCTTTTTTTTTAAAAAAAATGGATTAACAGTAATCAAAATTTTAAAGCTAAGAATATCTCTTGATCGAATAAGTTTTAAAAGACTAATGTAAATAAAACAAGACCTTGGGATGACCGCTAACCCAAAGACTGATGTCTTTGACAATTATCCCTTTTTCGGGTTAAAAAAGATTATCAAAAGGATTTTCGAATAATCTCAATTATCTATTCTTTACTTCCTTCCGAACCGGCTCCGGGAATATCTACTGGAAATGGTGAGCGTGAAAAAGTTCCGAATGGTTTTCCGGAAGAAGGAACAATCCAGCGCAACCACTTCGACGCCGTCTCCGCCATGGACAGATCTGCCACTGGACATAACGGCGAACATACTGGGGAGCCTGGGTGTGGTGAGGATTCTGCTGACTGCTCAGAAAGTGTGCACGACCTGGCGAAGCGTATTCAAGGATCCTTCCATGTGGCCAAAAGTTTGATATGTCGAATGCAGAAAGTGAGGAATACGATGCCGAAATTATGTGTAAGCACGCCGTGGATCGTAGCCAGGGGCAATTGGTTGATATTGAGCTTGGATATTTCCCTACTGATGATCTGCTTGGCTATATCGCTGAGAGGTAAACATCGATTGCCTCTGAATTAAATAGAATCTGTTTAATGTCCAGTCAGATTTTAGTGGAGCTACACAACCATATACTGTTTGTGGAAGTGATCAACTGAGTTTCATGGTGATCTTTCGTTTCAGTTTCCTCAGTATTTCAGATTTGATAGGATGTGTTTATAGTTGACTATTAAGTTATTGGTTTGTGATTTTCTTTTTTTGGCTTTTATTGAGCCACCATTCCGGCATTATTTTCTCTTATACTCCATGGTAATAGCATTAGCTCTTTGTTGGATATCAGGGGATTGTAGTATTGGAAGTTTGGGACCGCAGAATTTCATTACATTAGCTGACCATTTTCTTCCAAACATATGTTTTTTTCAATGTGCAAAACCTTTTCTACCAGACATGCATAATTGAGACAGTAGTTTTTTTGAGAATTCCTAAAAGCCAACGTAATTATTCAGGTCTTCATATTGGGGGTGGTGTTCTTTCAGTTATGTACACATGTACCATTTTGGTGTCCTTCCTTTAATGGTGGTTCATTGGCTTTTTTTTCTCAGATTTGATTGTCTGGATGCTTGTCCGTTTACTCCTACTGGGCTTAATTGCTTATATTTGTTCTGTGCCAATAGATCAGGTCAACTTCGGCGCATTTCTCTTTTCTCGTGTCATGCTTAATCAGAGGATGGTTTGGTTGAAGCTCTCAAAAGGCTTCCTTTGTTGGAGGAGCTGCACATTTTTCTTACTGAAGTTCCTTGTGAATATATCGAACTAATTGGCCGTTGCTGTCCATCTGTGAAATCTGTTTCCTTTGGACGAACTGTACCTTGCTCTAGAGATCCAAATATGGGGGTTTGGGATGACAACGAGGCGCTTGCTATTGCAAGAACCATGCCTGGATTGCGACATCTTTGTCTTTTTGGAATTAAGATGACAAATTTGGGCCTGCAAGCTATCCTTGATGGTTGTACTGACCTGGAATCACTAGACATCCGGAAGTGTCTTGGAATTAACCTTGGTTGCGATTTACGCAAGAGATGTCGTCAACAGCTTAAATCTCTCAGGCATCCCAATGACTCCACCGCGGATTATCATTATGATGAGGACTTCAATGACACTGATTCATGTGATGGCTATCCTAATATCTATCGCTCATGCTGTGGGAAGTCGATTTCATGGAAGGTAAGAAATAGCATGCTTGATCCCTGATTGATCCTGGTCTTTTCTGGATAATTTTTGAACTTGATGTGCTTAGTTGAAGAAATCATCTTTCAACTGTAATTTTAAAGTAAGATAGCGACACCGCTCTTATCTTTGCTTTGCAGGTATTCACTATTAGAAGAATGAGTTCAGCATGTCGATTTCACCAATTTGGCAAAGGGTTGTTAACCTTCCTCTTTCTTTTCTGACTGTTTTTGGCGTGCTAATTTTGGAGCGAAAGAGCAAGATTCCAGTCGCTTAATATTTTGCTAATGACGGTAAATGCATGTCTTTTTGCTTTTCTATTACATATGCTTCGCAAATGACTACTACTACTAGCTAATGTATAGAATCTGTTCGCTTCTCTGGTTAAGAATTAAAGAATGAATTTTGCACTTCCATGTCCTTGTTCGTCTACACCTGTACTGAGTTTGAATAATAATGCTTTGCACTTCCATGTCCTTGTTCGTCTACACCTGTACTGAGTTTGAATAATAATGCTGATAAGGAGACAACGCAGAGACTAGATCTTTCAATATCAACGAGCAATTGATTACTGGGCTGTGATCTATGTGCTGACATTCATAGCCCACATCAACCTAGGATTAGACAAATACTTGGGGAATCCGATCGACTAATACCTATAAATACAGTCAAAACATTGAACTTAGGTACCATGAAGATCATACGATCTACGAGACTACCACAGGAAATTCGGCAACTCACTTTAACGTCCCATAAAACGTAATTAGATAAAACCTTTTTTATTTTTTTTATTTTTTTGTTTTTCCTGTCCCAACTTGGGTACTTTCTGTTTTGGTTTGATTGGGAGATTGATCTGTCAACGACTTGCTCTGTTTTTCAGTAATTAAAAAGAAGGGTAGAACGAACCAAAGCACAAACTATACAACTCCATTCCTTTATACATCTTGAATTAAGAACACACTCTTTGGACATGATGCAAACGAATAAAGATTGCTGGAACTTAGAATGTTCATTCATTTTGCAACTGCACCAATTTTGCGTCCGTACTTCTATTTTAGTTTTCATTTGAGATTGAGATTGATCTGTCAACTACTTGCTCTGTTTTTCAATCATTAAAAAGAAGGGTAGAACGAACCAAAACACAAACTATACAACTCCGGTTCCTCTAAGATAAATATTGAATTAAGATCACACTCCTTGGACTTGATGCAAACACGTAAAGATTGCTGGAACTTTGAATATAGTGCTCATTCAATTTGCATCTGCACCAACTTTGCCTATATCATTCCACTCAAATCTGCGCATTTCTTACCTCATACCACAAGTGAAATCCACACATTGTCCAAACTCCCAAAAATACCATCCAAAATCTGTGCAGTTAAAGAGATGATTTCCAAGATGGGTTGCCAATTGAAGGTTGCTCTGCTTTTCTGGTCCCTAATTGCTGCTATAATCACCACTCAGAGAGCCGCATCAGCCTCGATACGCATCGATTTTTACGATCAAACGTGCCCAAGAGCCGAGAAGATCATCTTCACCGAGATGCAGAAAATCCTCCAGAGACCCGAATTCAAGAACGCCCCTGCCCAGCTGCTCCGGCTCTTCTTCCATGATTGCTTTATCGGGGGGTGCGATGCTTCCGTCCTTCTCAACACCGGAAACCTTCAGGACGAAAAACAAGCAGGACCAAACCTGTCACTGAAAGGGTTTGAAATCATCAACATGATCAAGGAGGCCTTGGAGAGAGAATGCCCTGTCATAGTGTCCTGTTCGGATATACTGGTAATCGCCACCAGAGATGCCATGATTCTGTCAGGTGGGCCTTTCTACCCTGTTTATACTGGTAGAAGGGACAGCAAAGTTTCTTTCTTGCAGAAAGCTTCCCTTGAGATTCCAAGTCCTATGGATCACATCGACAAAATTCTCATGTTATTCGCTCAGCGAGGCTTCACCGCAAGGGAAACCGTGGCACTTCTGGGAGGACACAGCATTGGCTTCATCAGCTGTGCTTTTATTCAACCTAGAATTAACAACGATACCAACCCCGATCCGTACATTGGTGATGATTTCAAGGAGGAAATAAGACAAAGATGTGAGAAGAGAAACAGCAACTTCAGCATGATGGACCCTCAACAACTGTCCTCTGCTTCATCATCTTCTCCGTTTACATCTCATTTCGGAACCCACTACTACGAGTCGCTGACCAGAAGAAGGGGTCTCCTGTTTTCCGACATGGAGTTGATGGCGAACGAACAAACAGCTGCCGTCGTCGAAGAATATGTGTCGGACGACGGATCCACATTCCAAAGAGACTTCATCACGGCCTTGGTTAAGATGTCTAATCTAGTCACTTTGACTGGTTCGCAAGGTGAAGTCCGGCTCAACTGTTCGGTTCCGCTTAACACATGATGTTATTAGGATTATACATTCTCTTATAGTACTACTGTAGTGCATGTTGTAATTACTTGTGAGATTACTATTGGCGCCTCTGGAAAAAAGCCCCATTATTTGCCCAAGAAATAGTTATGAACTTGTTATCCCTATCAGCATATTCTTCTACAAGAGTTGTTGCTTCTCACGGTAATCAAAGTGCCGAGTAATCATGTTTCTCACGGTGAAGTTTGGATCAGTTGGTCTGTTGAGGTCAATTGTACAAATTCTTTTTTTTTTTTTTTTTTTGGGCTGTTTAAAACATTAATATATATCATTGAGTAGGAAGTATGTACCGTAATTGTAGTTATAGTTTCAGAGGGCTAGCCGGAACATCCCTGTATATATGGCCGGCGCTGGGGGGTACACTAAGACACCGGTAGGATTCCGGGCAGTCAGTCTAGCTGTCTTGGACAAAGAAATGAAAAGTTTGGTCATTGGTGAGCTTCTGTTTTGCATCCACCTCTTCAGGACTATAAGCCAAATATTAGGTCATGATGAGACAGCAAATCCACGCAATTGTAACAATTCTCACCATCTTCTTTCAATAGTTCTCCATCATCTACATTATAATAGATCTTCTGTAATTGCACCTACGGTAAACTACATGGATATGCATTTATTATATCCAGCTCATGAAAACCTTCACAGGAATTCCCTTTAAAAAAAAAATTCAAGGTACTAAAACGAAGAATTAAATATTGCAAAAGAATTTAAGGAGTACTAAAGCACCATGCGAATTAGCAATTTAAATTGATAACTACTATCAAAACTACAACAAGAGCCAAAAAGTAGTTTTATGATGATAATAATTCTATATAATCAAATTGGAACCACGAAGCTCCGAATTCCTTGTACCAGAAAATTAATCGGAATGTCGAAGCTCGTCTTGTTGTTGTTAACACAACGGCTGTTGCTTCCCCTTGTCGGATTTCTTCTCTTTGGCGGCAGCCCTATTGAGCTCTTTCAGATCTTCATTGTCGCCGGCAGTGAAATAATCCATAGAATTACAGGCTATCTGCCCAATTCGTCATACCTGTGGCTGTGAGGAACAAATCCCTGGCTGTTGCCGTGATCTCTGTCTTTGATGCTTAATTTGTTTGCTGTAAGTTTGAAGGAAACTTGTGGAAGGTTACAACGCGCTGGAAGTGAAACATATGATCAAAATTCGGTTTTATTTTTATGGTAAACCGACGAACTATATAAAGGATTCGATAGTGAATAGAAAAAAAAGAAGAAAGAAAGAAACTTATCAGTCTACTAGTAGTAGTTCATAACGATGAATTAATATGTTTAAATTTCCTGGTATAACGATGGCTACTCTTTTTTCTTCTATTAGTGTTAATTTGTTCATCTTTTCTTCTTGTTTCTGCTATTGTACTTTCTTGTTCTGTTAATTCAAGCAGGAGGAGGAAGATTTTACTAGACAAACACCTTGTATTCTTTGGGTGCAATAGGAAATTTGTACAAACATCCTATAGACAAACACCTTATGTTCTGTTAATTACCGATTATATAATAATCTTATTAATAGGCGGAGGCATAACATTTCCTCAGAGGAACGACTTTCAATAGTAAATTTGTAATTATATTTTGCGACGAAGAGATAGGGTTTTCAAAAAATTAAGTCCAAAAACATCTCGTTGTAAAAACATCTCATCTCAAGAGTACCCTACCGAGCTTGGAAGGAAAGGGAAATACCAACATGCATGTGAGAATCTTTAAACTTCCTAAATAAAAGAAAAGAAAGGCAAACAGAGTTCGAACATAAATAGTTGATACTATTTGATCATTGATCAGCTAAAAGAAAATAATATAACCTTCAACCAGACCACTGATTGCGAGGTATTACTAGTAGCTAAACAAATATTTAACCACATTTCAACTGAGGAGCGATTGAGTTGATTAAATAATCAGCCATGTATTTATTCGCTTGTTGAGTCAGACTCATTCCATCCCAACTGATATAATTGTCTGGATTCGGGCAAGGATTAACGCCAGGCATCCCGCACAGGCTCCCAAAATCAAAGTTGAACACCGTTCCGCTCCCACAACAAGCTGAAAACTTGTCCTCAAATCCAAGATTTTGTGCATTGGATAGCACTGACAAGTAAGCATTGTAGTAATCGGCATAAACAATCAGCACATTTGGATATTCCTTCTTCAATTCTTCAATAGCTGCTTTTAGAATTTGATTGTGACGAGCAGCCTGATTGTTCCATCCCACCATACAATGGTTAGAATCATAAAATAATGGACTGTCTTCCTCGTGGTGGAAGAAACTCAGGGAAACAGGAAGACAACCAAGTGGGAGACTGCCAGGAACAATAACTCTTGTTGCGCCAAATCCAATTATTGTTCTAATAGTTTGTGCAATATTTTGTATTACTTCCGGTGCAAAAGCATCCCATTCCGCACCTTCAAGTCCCCAGAATCCATAACTGTAATCCTTTGCTCCAATGTCTCCTATGAAAAACAAAGAGTTTTTCAGCAAATCCTGACATTCTTCTCTGCTATGACAAGTTTGGTTCAAATGAGATGACAACCACTCCAATTGTACATTGAGCGAACTATTAGTGGCGTAGCGAAGATGAAGGCCTTTGGTCGCAAGCCAACCGTCAAAGGTTTCATCGTGAGGTGGAAGACCCTTAGCTTGTAAGATCTCAATTGGTAAAGCAGTAGCACCCGCGACAGCAAAGTTGGCTCCACGATCGAAATTCGCTTTCTCAACCCCTCTCTCGTATGGATTAAGATATGGTACACCAAAAGCTGAGGCTGCATTATCACCAAACAAATTTGTTAGTCCTCATAATCAGGTCTTTCAAATTGTGCATAGTTAAAAAGGCTTATCATAGCAAATTCAAACCCAATTTTATTTTTTCGATTACTATATTGCTTGAATTAAATAAAAGGAGATAATGGAGGAAAAGTTTAAAAACACGTACCAAAATAATCAATCATAAGAAGGCCATTAGAGGGTCGACCAGTTGGTTTTCCAAGGGTGATACCATATGGAAATTTGTTGAATAAACTATCGGGGACTTCGGCAGCTAGGTTTCCAGTATCAGCCGTCGCATCTCCAAGGCTATAGATTCGGTCGAACTTGCAACTATTCTTGGGGGCAACGTCAACATGATCATCACAGAGCAACTTTCGGGCACAACTAAGATATGGTTGGAGGATAAGCAAAAAAAGCAACATAACAGAACCAAGGGAAAACTTATTATTTCTACGAGGCATGTTTATGCAATGGAGGAGTAGAAAACAGAATTACTACTACAATAACGGGAGATAATAAAGGGAGACTTGAGGATAGTAGATCGATCAAGATGTGTGTGTTACAAAACCTTGGGGGGAGATCATATTTATAGGGAGGATTAAAAATGCTGAAAACAGGTTGGAATCGGAAGCGAATGCATAATCCTGTGATAAGTAAGAAAAGGAAATCATGATGATAATTAAGCTTTTTTCAAAAATTCAAGTTAACGTACGGTTGAAAGTCTCAATTAAAACTAGGAATGGGATATATATTTTATTAATTTTTTTTTTTCCCCAAAAACGTGACACTGAGTAGGAATTCCCAATCGATATTAATGGAAATAGGAGTTCTTTGGTTAGCATCCATAAACCATTAGCGCCACCAGCCGCTTCAAGCCTTCCTAGGAGGTTGAGGCCATCGGTATCCATCCCTCAGGAAGACATCTATTTTTTCCCATTCCAGGTTTCCACAAAGTATTCATGGATATACACCAGATACTGCTGCTTAAACTCATTCGGGCAGTTTCCCTCTCGAATCACCTCTCCGGGTTTCCTTTGCAAATCTCATGGTGGAAGAGGCACAATTATATGGGCGGCAAACTGCTTTGAAAAATCCTCATAATCAACTCTTGACTAATTTATTCATCATTGATGCCTGATGTATTCTTCTGCCGTTGCTCAGTGTAAATCAGAATTGTCCCTGCTGCACAGATCCTCCCCAATTTAACACCTGTTCTAATTTGTTACCGAATTCAATTGTATATGTATACATTATAAAGTAAGAAAGGGGCCGCTGGTCTTGAAATTTTTACTTCTACACATAAAAAGAATAAGCAAGAATTTTTTTGATCCTTCGATATGTCTTTCTTTAAGAAAGGGAAGAACAAAAAGAATCGCAATCACCATATCTTTAATATAGTCTGAATTAAGGGTGCAGTTAAAGCAAATTCTGTTAGCAATGGAGCTGGCCAAATCTCAAAGAATCACCAAACTGATGGTGGAATGGAATCAGACTCCAAAATAGCTCTTGTCTACGTGCAAACAAACAGCTTAGAGAAATATGGCGGCGTTTAAATCTAATGCACCTCAAAAAATTTGGTTTTTAATGATGTTAAAACCATGTTCATTCACCATCCTTTACTCCTTAGTTTTGAGATACTCTTTCCTGTGCTCCTGTGGAAGCCATGTACTTTTATCAGGTCATTACTTATTCTCGGGGCAGTATGGATTCAAGAAGTTGTAATCCTTTTTGGTGGAAAATTTGTGCCATATTCATCATGTCCTGAATTTGTTGATGGATGCTTGACAGTTTGTTTTAAAATTTGGCGGTCTGAGGTAGCACTATGAGTTCCTGTGATTCTTCTGATGGCTTCTCACATGATTTTAATATTAATGGGTTCGTCATTCGTGCCTTATTATGCCTTCTACAAAGGTTACGCTAATTGTAGTGGTTAAGAAATGTAGAATGAAATGATCGTACGTTACAGATTTTAGAATTTGGTGGTAGGTTGGTGATTATGAAAGGTGCAAAATCAGATTAATAGAATATGTCATCTGTCAAAAGTCAATACCAATATCCATTTACTTATTCCACTCAGATGATACCATTTTTCAATGGTTACATATCACTCATTCGTTTTAGTCGTATCATTGGGGTCCATTTTCTCACTTTCGTCATATGTTATACTTTAAGTCCTACATAACTGGATTAATTCATAGAATATGATTACAGTGGAATGAATACATTCCCTCCGTCCTTCAAAAAAAACCTAGAAGAAGAAGTTAATTTAAGAAAGTGGATTAATACTGTGAGACACGGAAGTAAGGTTTTCATTAAAGAACGGAAAATTGTGGTATATAATTTAACTTTGAGTGATAAAAGAAGGCTTGAAGTATGTGTTTATCTACAGGCTGATTACATACACTTGGTGATCAATATATATATATATATGCTCTAATTAATTTGTTATGCTAAGATATGAAAATTCAAGTATCTAACACTTTCTCCATGGATTGTTGCAGATGAGTTTCTGAATGTACTGCTGGAGACTTCGGTGTTCTGCTCCAATGTTTATGATCATGGTGTAATCTGCGTTTTTCCTTTTCGTGATAAGGCGAACGTGGTAGTTTCCTCGCTTCTTTTCTTCTCGGACTTTCCATCTTTTCCTTAAGATCAGTACATTCCTGTGGAACGGTGTACACGAATGTTCCACCTATATTGTCTTTGTAATCCTTGAGAGGTTTCAGAGTTTCGACAATGGTGCTCATCGCGGGCCGAGTCTTTGGCCGATGTCTCAGGCATTGATAGGCCAACGCTGCGGCTTTCAGAGCCCCTTCTTCGGAGTACTGGCCTTCCAGTCTCGGGTCGATTATTCGGCTAAGTTTCTGAGGATCTTTCAGCATTGGTCTTGCCCAGTCTGCCAGGTTTTGTTCTCTACGAGGTCGAGTTTTGTCCACTGATCTTCTTCCTGTGATAAGCTCTAAAAGCACTACTCCAAAACTGTAGACATCGCTCGCTGCCGTTAGGTGACCTGTTGCATATTAATTAGATAACATCACCCAATGAGATACTCTATATTTGGGTTTCGTGATACAATTGATACACAAAAGTCGTGACACATGATAACGCCGTCTTAAAATGTTGGTGTAAAAATTTTACCTGTCATTACGTATTCGGGGGCAGCATAGCCATGTGTGCCCATTATTCTGGTGGAAACATGTGTATCATCTCCTTCTGGACCATCTTTTGCAAGCCCAAAATCTGAGAGTTTAGCATTATAATCCTGCAATATTATTGTAACATATGAATTAATTATATGATGAAATCTTTAATTTTTATGTTTTGACTAATAATTGAGAACCTTACCGAGTCAAGCAAGATGTTTGAGGCTTTAAAATCCCTGTAGATAACTGGTTTTTCAGCCTCATGCAAGAATTCAAGCCCTTTTGCAGCTCCATAGGCAATCTTCATCCTCGTTGCCCATGGAAGTGATACCGAATACCCTGATTTCCACGAATCAAAAAGAAACAAAGATTAGAAAAATTGAAACTATACGTTTTTATCATGTTACATCATCTTACGTGATACAATTGATCGATGTACAAAAATTCTTTACCCGATTTTAAAAAATCTCAATCATTTGACAATATCGACACGAAAATAACCAAAGGGATATATAGAGACTTGCAATTATTTGACGTCGGAGCTAAGAATATCTAAGATCAACTTGCGAAGAAATTTGACACATTTGAACATCGTTTATTATCCACTCAATTTGCAAGCTTCGCATTTGTCATTTTCAGAAAGTACGCCTTGTTTGTTTAATGATTCTAAAGTAAACAGTAAAGACCAATTGACCTTACCTACCAAATAAAATATCCCCCTTAAAAAAAAATTTAAAAAGTTGGAACGTAAAAATCAATGATTAACTGGATTTGAGGCTGCTTTTAAGTTTAACGAGGCACGATAATGTCAACACGTCACTGGAAGAACCGGTAAACAGAATAGACTAATATTTCAGTACTTTTCGACATAATTTACTTAAAAGAGTTTGCACTTTGCAATACAAATGGGAACTCTTCAAAATGGTTCCCACCAAAATCAAAACTAACACCAGAATTTCGTTGATAATTTGACCATTTAAAAACATACTCTTTTTTTTCTTCTTTTCTTTTCTTGTTTTTATATTTGCTAGTTGTAAATTCTTGGAAAGTCAGTCAGTAAGACACCAGCTAGTAGAGAAACTCGTTTTGAGTCTATGGCTTTTAGTTAGTGAGTTACAGCTACCGGATTACACTACCAAAATGATACCATGAAAACGAAATCAGAATTTCTAATGTTTCACCAATTATAGTATATCAGTGGTCTCTTAATCATAAAATTTTATCGTTTTCCATAAACATAGAGAAAACCATCTTACATTTATAAATCAAGTACGATAGATAGTACCATAACACTAAATTACGTAATGAGTGAGACAGATGATTTTTATTTTCTAAAAAAAAAATTAATCGACAACAATGCGATTTTACAATAAAACAAAAGAGAAGAGGAGAAATGAAAGACATACTTCGGAATAATTGATTCTCCAAGCTTCCTCGGGGCATGTATTCATAAACAAGAAGTCTATGTTCATCCTCGCAGCAATATCCAATCAACTTCACTAAATTTGGATGTCTCAATTGTCCCAAAAATATCACTTCAGTCTGTAAAACAAAAAACCCAGAAATGTTATTCCATCAAACTCAAAAATCACGAAGGAAAAAAAAAAAAAAGGCCATAATGTAAATGTAAAGAAGATTATATACTGACCAGCCATTCCTTGTGACCTTGGGAGCCATCAAGATCCAGTAGCTTAACAGCAACGGGCTGAGCTTTCAAGCCCGGCCGGAGCTTATCATCAATGAACCCTTTATGAACCGGCCCGAAACCTCCTTCACCAAGGAAGTTACAGGAAGAAAACTGCTGAGTTATAACCTTCAATTCTTGAAGGGTGAAAATATGTGTATCGGAACCAGCCAAAGAAAGCGATAAATCTTCGGACAATGTTGAAATGCTCAAATCCGACAGAGAAAGCCTATGAAATGATGTCTGAGTTGATGTTAATTTCTTCTGAGATGATTTTGGCTTCGGATGAACATCATTATAATGACGGCCGTAGCAAGATCCTAGTAGAAGACATTGCCATGATGAAGAACTTTGATCATTATTACTACTTGTCTTCTTCTTCACTGCCATTTTTTTTTTTTTTTGTAGTAAATGAATGAATGAATGAATGAAAAAGAATGGAGAAATGGATAAACCCTTTTGGTGTTTTTTTTTGGTTTTGATGAATGAGGGGTTTTGTAGGAGGAGAGATCAAGCTTAATTTATATGGAGATGGAAAAGAAAGAAAGCCGAATATTATTCAAATGAGAGCTAACTGCTCCTTACTGTCTATCCGACGAATTAGAGACAAAGTCATTCTTCCACTTTTTATACAAAATCTGACCTCATTCTTCTGTTTTTTTTTCTTTTTTCCTCTCTACGCTTCGTATATTCTTTGAAGTAAATGATATTATAATACTAATACAATTACATAGTAAAATACGGATATTCAAAATATGCAAAATTATAACCATGGAATAAATATTTTTAACATACTCAAAAAATAGTCAACTTTCTCGAGTCTTAATTGAAGTTAAAAGGTTACTAGTGCTATCCAAACAAAAGTCTAATTTGTTCTATAATTCAACATTTGAGGCTTTCATTTTTGTTTTTAAATTATTCTTTACCATTTTTTCTTAGTAAGATGACATTTTTTTTAGGATTTAAGAAGGATTATTTCGAAGTGCTTTTTGCAACCAATAGGAAATACTATCTCATTTTTTTGCAAAAAAGAAAATTACAGAAATATTGAAGAAGTAAAAAGAGAGAAGCAAAGTAGTATGAAGCCTACGTACCTAATTGTTTGAAAGTGAAAAAAAAAGAAAAAAAAGAGTATGGCTAGTTGGCTACCTTCTCTTGACTTTCTCTCTGCTTTTGTTGCTGTATTTTGTGATATTTCTTCTTTAATTGGTGTGGTGTTTGTTGAAGAACTATCCAAAGAAGTGGTAATAGTTTTCACACGCTCTCGTACGTTGTACTTTTAGTTGTAGTAGCTTCGTGAAAACGGAAGAATTGGCAAAAACTAATAAGCGGTTTTACATTTTTTGTAGTGACTAAATTAATTAATTGTTTGACTCGGCTTCTCCAGATTTTAACTAATTTGGCGAGTGGGGAATTTTCTAATGTTATTATGGCTAAAAATTCTGTGGGAGTTTGTAGGTATTTCGAGATTAGGATTACACTAAGTGACAATTAACTACGCATTTCTTAGGTACTTGTTCGTTAATTTCTACACGGGTTCTTTGAACTTTCATCCCTTTTAACTGTGTTTATGTGTGTGTGTGTGTGTGTTTTTTTTTTAAAAAAAATTCTATTTAATTATCTATCGATCGTCACTAAGCCCACTTTGACATGGATATCTAATGACGTTGTTATCTTTGGTTGTTTTTGATTGGTTTCATATTAGAAGGAAGTGGTTGGATTTCACTATACGTACAAAATTGACAATGAAAGGTTTTGGCTGGCTTGTATTAATTTCCTTTTTTTGTCTTGTTTTTGCTGGTTCCCTTTAAGATATAGTATTTTTATTTAATGACTATTTATTAATTCATTGCGGTCTAGAATTTTTGTTCGATATGAATGACTACTAGTACTGACTCTGATTCGGTAAATATGTTAGTTTGACAATTTTTACATTTTTAATTATTTTGATAGACACTAACGTCCTATAACTTAATTGACGAAACGACTAAAACTTAAAGTTTAACATGAAAAACTAGTAAAAACGTGCTCTTTGTAAAGGAAGAACTGGTTGAGTGCCACGGAAGTTGTTGGACTGATATACGTACAATATTATTGGCATTCAAAAGGGACCTACCCGACTCGAATTTGGATTAGTCGGAGTAATGATTTCGGACAGCAAGTACGTAATATACCAAAATATATATATATATATATATATTAATTATTAGCAATGAGGCTGTGTTGATTTCTGTATACATATTTTGTCTTGGTTTTGGTCATCTGTGAGTAGCGCATCGAGAGATTTATATATATCGTGCACTTGCTTGTTTTCGTCCTACAGACTTTTAGGACATTATTTTTTATTTAAATTCATTTCATCCTACGTATAACGACGTGAACGACTAATAGTTATTTGTGGCCGTAAAGTTCATGGTTCCTCCCTCCGGGGTGAAACTAAAATCTTGATTAAGTTTTGAGACATAATCGTACTGTAAGGATTGGTCAACGCTGTAATGTCCTTACAAGAGTTTTAGGGCTTGTACTTCTTCGATTCTACTGGAGAAAAAAATACTCCCTCCGTCCCATAATTATTATCCACTTTGCCCAAAAAATTTTGTCCCAAAATTATTGTTCAATTTGACTTTTTATGAATCAAGTTACACATTTGTCTTTAGTAAAAAACATTATCCACAAAATCTTAGTGGTTAAACAATTACTTATGTAGGAGTATATCCGGTTGTTTAAGGTAAAATATAGTTAAGTTTGACCAAAAATAAAATCTTTTATTTTAGTAAAACTGGACAATAATTATGGGACGGAGGGAGTAAATTATTTGTTTCTGTTATATGAATATGTGAGATTAAAATTTTTATCATTTTGGTCCGATAAGCTAAAAAATCCTTTGGACCTCCAACATATTTCAAAACTAGTGGTAGGTGGAAATGATGTTTTTCAAATATAACAAAACAATGGTTGAAATATGATGCCGTAGTGTTTCATACTACTAACGATTTGTATTATGTTAAATCACAATTGGTTTTCTTATTGTACAAAAAAGAATATGAATTTTTTTGGGTATAAACCATGGATTAAGATTAGTTTAAAATCATTATTCTCACTGATAATTTAGAAAAAAATATTAGGTATAACTGCTGTATCCTGGTTTTTAGTGCAACAAGTACTAGCACCCTCTATTTTGGTAATATAACTCCCGTAAAAATTATCTTTCTTCTCTCAAAATTACTACTTTACTCTTATTATTGTGTTTGACTGCACAATCCTACGTGTTACAGCAGATGCACTGAATAATTTCTCAATTATTTAAGCTTGGTAAGTCCTTTCAAGAGAATTTATTACAGCGTACTTTCATTAGTATTGTATGCATTCGCGTGTTGGATTCTCAGTGAAGTGAAAAAAGAAAAAAAAAAAAAAACTCCTACAAAATATTAATAAATTTAATAAAATGTGACTTAAAAACTCTAATAATATCAAATTTCAACCATGTGAATTCCTAGCATTTGAAATTTACTAACATGTAGAATTGTAGATGCACATACATATCACTTAGTGGTCTATATCTTACCATAATTAAAAAGAAAAAAAAAGAAGAAAGAAGGTACAAAATGAAAGACTTGGTGGTTACTCCAGCCCTCCACTTTGTGGCTCCTCTCATTCTATTCATCCACATAATTGCCATTCAAAAGAACCTTAATTAAACAAAAGTTAAAAAGTGAACTTACAGTTAGAGGCAACAAAGGAAACAAATGATAGATCGATGGACGGAGAGAAACACATTAAAGTGGTTTCCAAGTGAAATGATTCAACAAAAATATGCTTTACTCGGAAAATGACACACACGGTTTGAAAACCCGGCCCAGACATAGAGCGTTACTCGTTAGGCGACTTTTTGGTAAATTAGGGTCAGCAGACTTAGCACCATCTCATTTATTAATACCATATGAGATATGATTTCCAGCTAGTTTTCGGGGGTGGCTCTCTTAATTTCAAGTATAAATCCAACAAGTCTCAAAGTTTGAAAAATGAATCCAAAGATGAAGGGAAGACGAAGAAGAAGATCAGCGCTGTATATAATACTATATGGTAGGTCAAGCTGCACTTTAATTTGCATCTACGTTGATTCTAGAAACTGAGTATACATAATGCACTTCATTTCTTCGAATACGCGACATCATTGAAAATTGGAATTTCTGGAACATGTAACTAAAGAATATATAGCGACTTTTATCAACTCATCGATTGCTTTATCCACTTGTGAAAGTATTATTTCATTAAGAAAGTTTGTGTCTTTTCATGTGTATATATTTATTTGTTGTTCCGTTAGTCTTAAAAGTTTATTATTCCGCTATTCTTTTCATATGTATATATTGTGGTTTATATCGCTTTTGGTATTGCACTAATTGACTATTTATTCGTGTTTAATCACATAACTATAGAAATTCGCTGATAATGCACTTTGTGCGTGTTTAAACATTTCCGTATCAGGGTTAATTTACTAAACATGCATTTTGTAAATTGTTACAAGTACTATCAAATATACTATATACAACCATTAATTAACGTACGAGTATTATACGAGCAGTTGAGCTGAAAACCAAAATGAAAACTGCATTCGTATTTGATTAAAACCACGTGCAAACATCCAAAGAGCGTTACACACCAACAGCGAGATAAGTGCAAACATTTAAGCCTACGAGATAGTGCAATTTTTCCTGCATTTTTCAGGATAAATTTTTACATTTCTTTGTTAAATTTTGTTATTTTTGTAAATTTAAACCTTCATGCCCTACCTAGATATATATCACTCGTTCGATCTTTCTTTTTTTTTTTTTTTATTGAATCACTCGTTCGATCTCTAAAAGTGTAAAAAAAAAACAAAACAAAAAAAAAAAGCAAAACAAACATAAATACATAATAAATTCACGAATGGCCTAATTTCCAAATTGAGTTAAGATATCGTGTCACAATGAATTTGCTTATACCTTTATCACACTCTCTTACACAATCCTCATTTCCTTACATTTCTTTGTAATATATAAGCTTTAAGAGAAAATTCCGAAGCAGCAAAAGCCGTCCATATGTGCCTAAAAATCTAAAATCCAAAACCCTAATATCAATCAGGAACACAATTATATAATGTTTAGTTAGCTAGATAGTAGGACCTAGAAGTAGTAGGTGAGACATCTAGAGCCCCAAAAGCACAAGTAATCGCCCCAATCGAATAATATAATTGGAAGATGGATAACGAACAGATTCTAGAACAATTAAATTAACTAAAACAGCAAATTAAAAAGGATGATTTTTCATCTTTTTTCTACGTTAGCACTTAGCCTTGACATCAATAATCATCATATATAGTTGCGGCGGTCTAATTGGGGAATTCAATACAAGGTCAAAAAAATATGGTGAAGGATGAACTACTTAAATAATTGCATTAACTACTTTTAAACCTCAACGGGAGTGGGTTTTAACCAAACATTCAAAATATTTGGGCATTGTCTGAATTGGGATTTGCGTGTTTTAGTTTAACCTTCTATTTTTTCGAATCATGTTTTTTCATAGTAATTACCTTATAGTTGAGTAATCAACAAAAATTACATTTCATTATTCACCTTTTACAATAAAAATTGTATAAAGTTTTGACTTGTGATTATTTTTAAGATAATCAGAGTGTTATATGACGAGTATATATATATCTATATATATATATATATATATATATGATTTTAATGATCACCACGGGTTTGAACCATATTAACGATGAGTAATCTGAAAAGTTCTTGAAAATGTGGTTTTTGCTTGTGATGTTGATTGATTAATGCATATGTTTAAATTCAATGTTGTGGAAATTAATTATCATGACGAAACTCTCTTCATTTTACCTCTATATGTATGCCTTGGTGGTTAAGAAAAAGCTATACAAGGTAACCATAATCAAACAAGTTTGGCATAAAAATTTGAAACTCGACAGGATGTGTATATATTTTAGATAAAAATTGCATTGATTTTCAAATGTTTTGTTGGACCATTTTTCCTGGCCGAAATTGACAAATTAATCCATCATAGTCGTCCAACAAAAATACATAGAATTATTTAACGAGAGGAGCTTATGGTGACACATGATTTCAATTACACACGAAATGATATCATGTTACTTTAATCAGTCATTCTCTTCTCTAGTAGAATAAATATGTTAAAAAAAAAAAAAAAAGGATTAAGTGGACTGAGGAAAAGTCAAAATTCGATTTTTGTATTTTCCCGAAAAACCCCAAAAAAAAAAAAAAGAAGAGAGAAAAGTTTCTATTTGGGTAACTTCCTCTTATGGAGTGAGGGGCAAGAAAAGTATATAAATTAGAATCTCGATTCCGAAGATCCTATAGAAATTGACAAGCTACCTATATCATCCTCCCAATCTCGTAGCGAATCCAGTAAGTCCAGAAACATGCGTACGAATTAGGAATTCTTTTTAAAAGTCCACTAAATTATTGGCCATGTCTCTCACATCAGTGTTATAGATTTTTCATCTCAAGCATTTTAGGGGGTGAGAAAAAATAATGCTATTGCTAGCCATTAATTCAAATGGTTGTTTTGGATTTTTGCATAATTGGTTTAGTTTTTAGTTCTGCGCCAATCCACGCGTAGATATTATATATGTATCTAAAGTTTTGACTTGTGATTAAGTAATAGTACTATGCATTACTACATTCATTTCTAAAATGAGGTAATAAAATGAGCCGCAAGTTGGACAAGAAAGTGTAATTTAATGGTAAGACACTTCTTTTATTTTTAATAGATCACATCAAGAGTAACGTAAAGAATCACAATCGATTCTTTTGAACCACAATTGTTAAGATGTCCATTGTTCCGCTTCCATTATACTCGATCGAGTGATTTAATTACTCTCTTCGTCCTAAAATTATTGTCTAATTTGAAATTATTGTTTAATTTACATCAAATTAGACAATAATTTTAGGACGGAGGGAGTACTTGTTTGATCAGCCTATTTGGTCCGATCATTCATTTCGATGTTGCTTGTGCACTTTAATGTACGAAATAAAATTTAAAAAAAAAAAGCATTTTTGAGGTTGTCCTTTGTTAACTATTCTGAAATCTTGAATATTGAGGAATCTACTTTTGTGGAAGATTGAGGTAGCTATATTATACATCTGATGAGAAAATATCTTCAGAGGACCCAGTCTCATCCAAAATTTCCACCCATGATATTTTGTGTTGGATTATTGACATTATGGTGCAGTTCTCAATTATTAGTCCATCAATTCGTTGATGTCTTAAAAACGACACGAAAATGACACCCCGGCCGGATCGCATCTTTGTATTAAAACTTACTATCATCTTTTGTCATGGCTTTCATCATATATACAGTATGCATGTTGTTATTTCCTTCTTAATTAAAAGATTTATCGCACTATAATAATGACTTCCAATTATACGTGGATGCAGTATGATAAATGATCACTTATGTCACGCTAACTCCTTACAACTCAGTGAACCTCAACTTAAACGTGAGTAAAACCTCCTTTACAATCCCTGGTGGAAATTGAACACTGATCTATTACCAGAAAGGATAATAACTTAACCAATAAGTTGTCATTCTTTTTTTTAAGGTTATTTTACTGTTGAGAAGAAAAGAAAGTGTCACCCTCTTTTGGTTGTTCAAAATAGACGAATACATCTTTCTCTTTACAAAATAATTAAAAAAAAATTTTAAAATCGAGTAAAGAAGGAACTAAAAGGATAGAACAATGATATTATTAGTAGTGCCATGAAAATAAACCATTCCAACACAGTTATACTGAAATTAAAAAAAAAAAAAAACCCCAACTTAAAAGGCCAGATCAAACGCCATCTTTATTAACTAACTTATTGTATTCGTGCTAGTATGGCTTCGCATGATTTTCCCCTACACACTCCATTAAAAGCGGTTATTTTGATCGCCCCGAAAACAGACTGATCAGAACTGATTAGTTTAATTAACTGATATGGATACGTCAATGATCTCAAAAAGTTCAAGTTGCTCTCAACGGTATTTCTATTTTACTTTTGTCTCGGTAATATAAACTATTACATATTATACCCGTGCGAATGCACGGAATTAAATAATAAATTTTTAATGATTTATTATTATTATTTTACAATGATTTTTCTTTTCTAACTGTATCAATTATTAACAAAAAAAATATTAACGAAATGGGTTTTATGTCCAAATATTGTTGGCCAAACAGTTTTCTCTGCTAAAGTTATTCTAAGAATTCGAGCAAATACATTAAGGTATAGACCTATAATACCAAGACAAACAAAATGCTAGTACTGACGCCTATAAAATCATTTACTTTTATAGTCAATAATATAATATATGCCTAATTGTTATAATGTTTAGCTCAAATGTTTCCAAATAGAAAAAAAGAAAAAGAAAAGAAATTCATATATTGCTGGTACAAAAAATAAAATAAAATAAAGAAAACTATTGCTACTAAGCTCTTTGTAAATTTAAAGTGGGACCTCATTGAATTATACTAATTTTTAAGGGATAAGATAATTAAAACAATCTAAATTTGGAGGACTATTGAACAATTACACTAAGTTTTATTTGGAGGATTTATAAGAACATTACATCTAGGATTTTTGGCTTATGAGTCACTTTAGGTATAAATGTTGTTTCCTCTCTATGATTTCTCTCTTACTATATACTATAGAAGATAGATAGATATAGATAGATTAGTATAAATCAACAGGGAAAAAAATGGAAATACTTTTTCTGTTTCAAAATTATTATTCAGTTTTATGTTTCATTTTTAGCATAAATTGTATCGTTAAAAGTGGAATTTTAAACCGTACAATCATTTTGGGACAAAAGAAGTAATAAAGATTGAATGAAAACCGTATACAACAATATTTACGAGACCAGAAAATAAAATAAAATGACAATTTATAAATTAATTATGGAAGTTTTAAATCTCGAATATTCTCTCTTCACTCATTAACTTCTTCTTTCAACATATAGTAAGTTAGAAGTTCGTCAGCTGAAAAACTTGACACTGTTATGTTCAGTTCTGAATGATTTTGATTTTGATCAAGCATGATATTTAGAAACCAATATATAATTGTAACACCACAAACATATCTATAAAGAAACTCTACTAATAATCTCTTTTGTAGAAGAGACCATTTAGAAATGAGGGATCAAAGACGGTTTTATTCCACTTCCATTCTAGCCCCCAAATCCTTTATCAGTGATTGAGCAATTTCCAAAAATAACACCACGAAAATATTACTCTTAGAAAACAACGGGGGAGCCAAGTATTATTGAGTCCAACTAAAGCTAATGTTTTGCCCAAAAATGTTAACCGATCAACGGTTCCAAATTGATCATCAAACAAACCAGATATTGTTTACAAGAAAAAAACGTCATCATCCACATAACAATGACAAAATTGATAAAAAGGGGAAAAAAAAAAAATTCCAATAAAGTGTCCTATAAGTAACCACCAAATTGCGCTCTCTCATTTGCCCACCCAGATTCCTTTTGAGAACCCGCCAACCCGGGCATGGGAGCCCATCTTGTCATAAATCTGAACCGTATATTATACAACAAATGGACCGATCTTATAAAATCCGACGATCAAGTTCTATCGTGGTCCCACACAAATAAACCCGACAAATTTTAGCACACTCAAACTACAAATATAAAAATATCACGGGGATCGATAAGAAAGAAAGAGTATCTTGGCCACTCTAAAACCATTGCAAAAAATATCCATCCAATCCGACCTTCCCGGATAAAAAAAATCCATCCAATGGCTCGACGACTTTCAGCGGCGGTCTTGGCCGTCGTCGCCGCCGTTCTGATCGCCTGCGCGGCCGGAGCAGAGGACGGATCATTTGCATCTTCGGATCTTTTTGCTCAAGAGAATCCGATTCGACAAGTGGTCTCCGACGGTCTCCGTGAGCTCGAGACCTCAGTTCTCCAAGCTGTTGGGAACACTGGCCACGCTCTCTCCTTTGCTCGTTTCGCTCACAGGTTTGTTTTTGTTGAATTGCTAGCTCGGTGATATTTGTTTGAATTCTCTGGATTGTTTTTCCCCGATTCGTTCTTTTTGTGATCGAACGAAAAAATACCACAGTGAGTTTGACTTATGAGGTTATTGTGTGAATAGGTACGGGAAGAGTTATGCTACAGTGGATGAGATTAAGATGAGGTTCGAGATATTCAGGGACAATTTGCGGATGATCAAATCTCATAACCGGAAAGGACTTTCATACACCCTGGGTGTTAACGGTACTGGAATTTTTGTGCTCTTTTGGGTTGAATAAAGTGTATTCAATTAAGATAGACGAACTGAATATGTTCTGCTATTTTTGATGTTTTTTTTTTGTGGGGCAGAATTTGCGGATATGACATGGGAGGAGTTCCGCAAGCACAGGCTGGGAGCTGCTCAGAACTGTTCTGCAACTTCAAAGGGCAATCTCAAACTCAAGAATGTTGTTGTCCCTGAAAAGGTACTTCCACATATTAGGATATTTCTTCCTTCTGTGGAAAATTAGATGCTTGAAGTGATGAACTGGCATGAGTTAGTCTAGTTTTTATATGCGTCAATTTCATTCATTTAATTTCATTTTAGTGAAGTGTTCACTTTTCATGGCTAAATGGTTACTTTTATAGTTCATCCATAATCATGAATATACTCATATTGATCCATTTATGTATTTGAGAAATTCTTTACTGGTCCTGAACACTAGTTTGATTAGAATGCTCTAAGTCTTGTCAAAAAGCTTAGTTGTTGTAGTAGTGAGGGTCAATCTGTCTCAATCAGTTCCAACAGTATTCTCATTAAGGAACCTTGGATTTCTTGATATGTTTGCAGCAAGATTGGAGGGTGACTGGTATAGTTAGTCCTGTCAAGAATCAAGGTCACTGTGGATCTTGCTGGACATTCAGGTGAACTCTTTACTTTCTTTTGATTAATCAGGAATCAAGTTATGGCTCTGAGTTCTGACTGTAATTTCAGATTTTGAAAAGTTATGTTAGAACTTACAAGGAAGACGATTAAATTCTTAACTTTATTGTTTTCAGCACCACCGGTGCTTTGGAAGCTGCTTATTCACAGGCTTTTGGGAAGGGAATTTCCCTTTCAGAGCAGCAGCTTGTGGACTGTGCTGGTGCTTTTAACAACTTTGGCTGCAATGGTGGTCTACCATCCCAAGCATTTGAATACATCAAGTTCAATGGTGGACTAGACACTGAAGAAGCATATCCATATACCGGAAAGAATGGCTTGTGCAAGTACTCATCCCAAAATATCGGTGTTCGTGTTATCGACTCTGTGAACATCACACTGGTAATTGCCTAAAGCCATTTGCTCAGTTTCATTTCATATCATGTTAATTGAAGTTTGTATTGTTCAAATACAGAATAGGTAGATTAATGAAGCAGATGTATTACTTTTGCTTTCAAAAGAAACTTTTTCTTTATTACTGTCCATGATTAAGGATTTTGATATTTAGACCCCTATTGCATCAACTTAGCTCAGAATTAATTCCTGGAAAACATTCTTTGGGCTTCTATGACAATTATTCCTAGTTGATCCTATTAGAGCAATAGGCTTTTAAAATTGTTCTATGACAATTATTCCTAGTTGATGCTATTAGAGCAACAGGCTTTTTAAATGTAAGAATCCACACGGACTGTTCTGCTCTAACTTCTCAGAAATGACAGGGTGCTGAAGATGAACTAAAATATGCAGTGGGCACTGTTCGACCTGTGAGTGTGGCATTTGAGGTGGTGACTGGTTTCCGATTTTACAAAAAGGGAGTTTACACGAGTACCACATGTGGCAATACTCCAATGGTAAGTAGAAACTCTTGAAGACATACGACACTATAAGAGGATGTCGATGACTTTCTGATATCGCAATTATAACTGTCCAAGTAAATTGTTGATCGTGACTTTCAAAAATTTTAGTTTTGGTCTAATTGACATTGGCTAGAAAAAGCATAAAAGCATGGCTAGCTTAGAATACTACAATGAAACAAGCTGCATGGAGGGAATTGAATAACAGCCTAATGGTTGGAGGCTGTGCATCCTGGCCTTAGACTTTCTGTTTTTACTGAAATGCACCTTATAGCAGTTGGTCTTACACCAGGATAACAACATGCTTCTCGCCATGCACTTGTCTTTTTCGTACCATATAACAGACAGTGAATAGTAAGAGATAACTCTGATGTTCTAACAGCTTTCCTATCAATTATGTGGTCAAATGGCAGGATGTGAACCATGCCGTTCTAGCTGTTGGATATGGAATTGAAGATGGCATTCCTTATTGGCTAATCAAAAACTCTTGGGGAGCTGACTGGGGTGACAATGGTTACTTTAAGATGGAGCTCGGAAAGAACATGTGTGGTAAGTTTCTTTGGTTGTTGCACTAATTTTTGTCAATTGTCAGGCATTGCATTGTTTTTGTGCCATCAATGTGCTTATCTAACTGGGAATGTTCCTTTATGTTGAATATCTTATTTGATTTTTTGTTTGGTCCATCGGCTTATATTTGTAATATGATTACAGGTGTCGCAACTTGTGCATCATATCCTGTGGTTGCTTAAGCCTTTGGAGTAATGATATACACTTCTTCCACATGAAAAAGTAATCCATTATGCTGTTACACGCACCGCAACATTAGCTTCCTGTCATGTCTCTGCAATGTAGAATAGCAATTTCTGAGTCACAATACCAATAGCGATCCAACGGTTGAGGATGTGTTTGATACGAAGGGCTTGTACTTGTAGAATAAGAACTGTATTGCTGTTCCTTTGAACTCATATGATACTGTAATGAGGAAGTCTTTTGTAAAGTAATTTGTTGATGCTTAATATACACGTTGGATTCTATTACCTCTGAAATTCAAGCTGTTTATCATTACAATTTAAAGGTAGCATATAAAACACTCCCTCTGTCCCAGAAACTAACATAAACAAACAAAAACAAAACAAGTCATGTTATACAGTTATAGTTTAGAGGAAGTAGTACTTAACAGAGGAAATATTCATAAATTTTGAGTCTTTGATACAATGAGGAACGAACATTTCAAATCAAACTGGAACAATTCCAACAACATAGAGCTGGACCATACTGCCCAAACTCTTTGAATTTGAACTCATTGCCAATCATACAACTTTTCGTCAGTCTCGCCTGACGAAATGTAAAAACCATCTTCTTTCACACTCCAAAAACAAGAAGTCACAACCAAATTGGACTGATTTTTGAGACAATGCTTATCAATTTCCACATCATAGGCATTAAAAGCTTGTTTCTTAATACCCGATCCAAATTGGCAAAATAAAGAAGGATCTCCATTCTTAAAAGGAAACAAGAATTTCTCATAACCATTGGGCTGAATTGTTCTATTTCCATAATCAGCACCCCTTGATAAACGACACTGAAGCCAAATCTCAGCGTTTTGTTGAGGAAGCTCGTTGCTTATGATCTCCTGTACCCACCAATCAGTTTCACCACGAACGACGTAAATTGAACAAGAAAGAAAACCAAACGCTAAAAAAATCAGAAGATTTAGAGAAATATTAGAATTCAGAAATTGAGCTTCAGAAGTATCCATGATGTTGTTGCAAATGGATCTATACTTACACCAGTTTATATATATGCACATGTATATGGCAAAAATGTTAAGTTTAATCATAGAGTTAAGTACATTTGTCCTTTTTAAGGTTTAGAACTGAAACTGGTTTTGCAAGATTACCAGAATCTAATGAGTTAATTTTATATTTAATAATTTCTTTTAAAGTCTCATTTTAAAAGTTTAATTTATATACGTTATATGTTTTAGTTTAACAAAGTGACTATTCTGTAGGGGTGAACCTTGTGTACCATATATGATACATTTGTCTAATTAATACAATCTAATTATGGAATGAAAAATTAAGAAAAAATTTATTAAATCAATTCATTCTCTTTCATCATTTAATTTCTCATACTATACTTTCAAATACGACAACAATAATATTCTAAAAATTTTGTAACTCTTTCTTCTATTCAATAATTACTTACTTTTTCTTCTATTCATAATTATTGGTGTAGTTTGAAAATTATGAACAAATTAAATTTAATAAAAAAATCATGAAATTATGATATATATATATATATGTCATGAACAATATTATAATAACTCATGAATTTTTCATAGAATGAGTATGAACTACAAATATAAGGATTTTTAAATATTTGATTAATATTTTTATTTTTCTTAGTATGAAAATTTACATAATTCTCATGAACATTATTTTATATGGTTATGAATATAAACTGTTTATTTGCATTAGTCTTTCAATTCTCTAAAAAAAAATTATGAAATTTGGATACACATGATATCATATGAAAAGTATCATTGTTATTCATGAATATTTCAGGAAAAGAGTATGAACATTTATTGTATATGTGATTAATTTTTTGAAATTTCTCTAATTTGTATGAACATTTAGCATAATATTCATGAACATTCATAGTTGTATGCATGTATAAATAGAAGATTAAAAATATTACAACCTTTAATTTATAATTAGATGTGAATTTTTTATATATATTAGATGTGAAAAATATGTTTATCATTCATGAATTTTACATTGTATAATTATTAACATTTGGTTTTTGTATGAATAGAAGTATATTAATAAATAAATATTTCTTCCTTTTGAATTTTTTTGTAATCACATAATTGGTTTGAATATATGATATATGATATTAAATATGGAAAGAGGATTGACTAATTTAGTACTAGTAATATTTTAATTAATAATTTATTATTTAAATAACTTCCATTAATTAGACCAGTGCACCATATATGGTGAACCATGTGCACCATATAAGAACTCTGTAGGGTTAAGCTTGTAATTTTGTGGGTGATCATTTGAGATAATTAAATTTCTACTTTACTAATTTGTGTTTTTCTTCTTTTTTTTTTTTGGTTAATTTCCAGTACTTATGTTTATTCATTAAACCCTTTCTTCCATTTGCGATTATTTTTTCACTATTTTAGATGTCTTATTAGTTAGAAAGAAATTTATTTTTTAGAGTGCTACAAATTCAGTTCTTAGAGTTGCAAGAATAATTTCACTGAAATATTGCACGCAGGCCGAAGATATATATTGCACATGCCCGTAACATTTTGCTAACTAAAATGCACATTAAAATTATACTCTTCCGATCCTTAATATAAGACATTTTGACTTTTCTTAGGTTTAACCTAGTACGTATTTTTTATTGACAAAAAAATCTTAAAAATATTTCATAACAATCAAGAAAACACGATGAATGTGAAAATATATTTTTAAGATTTTTCTGTCAATAAAAAATACATACTAAGTGAAACCTAGGATAAATCAAAATACCTTATATTAAGGACCGGAGAGAGTATCAACTAAAGACGTGATATGTAAAACAAAAATCTAGTACGAACCAATATGTAAAGATAATCTTGCCAATGTTACAAGTATAACTAGGTGTTAGACCTGTCCGATGGACGGAGAAGGCATACACATTTAGACATTTTTACATAAATTTTGTATTTTTATAAAATATGTAATGACTTCAGTTTTAAACATAATTACCTCTGAATTTACAGGAATTTATTTTTTTTAAAATGACATTTTAAATTCACTGGTGATAAGATTTATGCAGACCTCTCTAAAATTTGTTAGGATTTGGTACTCTCTCCAATCAATCTCTGTGTTAGGATTCGGTTCATGAAAATAAGGGTTCGATTTTTATTATTTTATTTTTTAAAAAATTATTTTAGTTTTTTTTTTTTGGTTTTATTATTTTGTTTTGTGCATTTTTAAGTCTAAAAAATTAAGAAAACGCCACATAGGATTAAATCCTATGTGGCATGTGCTCCATGCCTTTAGTTTTCTCGCTCTAGTTTTTATCTTAGTATAGTATATAGAAGATTCTATTTTGAAACATAATTATAGATCAATATCTTCAAACAATGAAAAATATATAATCTTATTTTAGTGTCCAACAGGATTCACAACAAACAAATTTGAAGCTTTCATAGAATTGTGTGCGTGTGTGTGTGTTAAGAAAAGTTTAGGGGCTAAACCGAGCGAGGATGAAGATAAAGGACTCGTGGAAAATTTGCTCTCGAAGGGTAGTAAAATTACCATGAGACCCCCTTCAGTTGACTGATATTTCAAAAAACTACGGCTCGAACTTTTTTCATCATCGAAATTGATGAGATTCTGCAGAGATCGAAAGAAAGAATCGGAAAAGTAAAAACGGAGCGATAAATAAATGAAGTGAATAGAAGTAGGAAAAAGGAGAACAAGAGAAAGGCAGTAATGGCAGCGGACAGATACTCTTCTGCCATCGTTACATCTCAAGATGAAAACAATCTGTAAGTTTCTTGCATTGATTAAACCTTTGCCTCTGTGTTTATCATTCCGCTTTAGTTTTTGCAGATTGAAAACGCCGTTTATCTCTTGAGCAGATTGTTTGGATGAATTTCGTTCTGAAATTTCTGTGCAAATTTCTAAGTAATGCGTCAGTTATCGCTGAAATTAAAGTATATTTAGGGAGAAGTATTTAATGACAGTACGAGACAAGTAGTAGGAAATAATCTGATTTTAAGTGTTATTTTGGAAGGATTTGTCGAAATATCTTGTTCATATAATCGTGCTTTTCGAGATTGAGAACAAATTATTGTTTGCTAAATGGAAATGAAAATATATCATGGTCTGTGTATCAGCATTTTTTTTTTTTTTTTAACTTTCATGCCTTGAATCAATGACTTGCTAATCATTCTGCTATAGGTTTGTGGACCTACTCCAGGAGGCTCCGTTGTATGGCCACCGAAAGCCTACAAGTATATTGGGGAGTGTATTCTACTGTATCTTGCTGGCAAGTATCTGTTGGTTTTTCATTCTCGTAGTGTGTTGAATACATGCACTGTCGGTTAGTTGAAAGCAATGCTAAATATCTCCAACTTTAGGCAGGCTATGCTATATTTGCTGCTGGAGCTACATTATTCATTCATACTCGAAAAGAGCTGATGACGCCTTTGCTTTGCAGTTCTGATGTAATTCTTCTGGTGGTCACTGGTACTTGTTTCGTATTCTTCACCCTTTTTTCTTGTAATCTTCAAGTTGATGAAGTTATCTGATTCAGTTTGTAGGTCTTCTTGTTTTGTCTTTTCCTTCTCTTTTTAGTTGTAGGTCTGATTTGCTGTGGTTTTCTTTATGATGTGCTTCCTAATATTATCTTTCTTTGGTTCCTTTCTTTAAGGCATATTTCAGCAATATCTAGTTTACCAAGTTCAGAAGATACGGTTACAGGTTCTCTCTATCTCTCTCACTCTCTACAGATATGCGATTGTCACATGTGGCATTTGGACTTGCAATATATGAGACATTTGTTGGTTTTACAGGGGTACTATGTTTTTAGCCAAAAGTTGAAGCACATTATTCGGTTACCTTTCACTGTCTTAGCATACGGTATGCGTATTCTGCACCGCTATCCTGTCATACTGCAAAAATCCCACTTGGTTCTACTCCTTTATTTTGTGATGCTAACATCTGAAGAACCCTACCATGATCTGTAATTTTGGTCAGCTTAGTTATTACATGTTTTTGCTTGATCCAAATTCTGCTTATCAAAAATCACATAACACAGTGATCACTGTACAAATATGCTTCTTTGTGCAATGACATTATCTAAATTTAACCTTCAAAGTAGTCGTTTTCGTGCCTCCAACAAAAGTCTCAATGCCATTTAACCTATCCTTTCACGTAATCTTTTGAAGACTCATCAAATTGTTTGTCTTCCTTATCCCTACTCTGAATTATTGCTTCCAAGTTCTTTCTTTACTCTAAATCTTGTATCAGCCATCTTGGATGTGATAATTCTTGCTTCTGTGATTAGTGGCATATTGTACAGTGGATTAGATGTATAATGTGAAAACAAATCTTCAGACTTGAATCTCTTGCACTTCCTATTGCAGGAACTGCTGCGATGCTGCTTATCATTGTCTGGGAATCAAATGTTGACCTTCTGTCCAAGCATACAATACTGAGGTAAGTGGGATCGCTGCGAAAAAATATTCAAATTCACTTGCTTCTTGTGAAATCCATCATTTTGAAATTCCATATGATCAACTACTCTTGAGCTTCCTCTTCTTTTTCAAAGACTTGGATAGATGATATACAGCCTGATGAATAAGGTTCTTTGGTATTTGAAATAGTAATACAACATCATAGCTTTTGGAATTTGAAAAAGTCATGATTTGACCAAAATATGCATGAGGATGTAAGCTAAGCAGTTTTCATTCTCAATATACTCTATTTGGCTGCTTCCTTATTTTGATTTTATGACCTGATTGTCAAATGCAGGATTATTATGCTAGCTGAAGCAATTTTTGCTGGGTTTTTTGTAAGTGTCTATATGGGTGAGTTTAACAAAACATCTGTCATATGTTATTATGAGTGATTACATATACCTGTTTTGCAATGATTCTTGAGCTGCTTGATTAGCTATCTTGATTCTTGATACTGTGTTTATTCGAACAAATTACAAGTGTGATTTACTTGGATTGACATTGAGTCTTTGTTTCTGGATTGGGGGAAGGGGAGGGAGGAGAAGGGAAGACGGGGAGGGAGGGAGGGAGAGGGGGAGAGAGAGAACCTTTAGACTGATAAACTGCAGTTTCAAGAAATTTGTATGAATATCTTCGGAAATATTGTGATGCCTCTCTTTCCATTCTTCCCACAAGTAACTGCAATTTCATTGGCAAAAAGTATGTAACTCACTCAGCAGCAATGACGGAAAACCACCAATAATTCAAAAGCAAATATCACGAGCAAATTTAACACACAACTATTTCAATCTCAGAAACTTTAAAATACTTCTCCTGATTAAACTTAAAAGATGGCAAGTGCAGGCTAAACCCACTGTTAAAGGCTTATTTAGCCTTGATCATTCCTGCTAAAGCAACATGCACATGTCATCAATCCTAGTGACAAGAATGACTTTCAGATTTGATCATTATTTACATAGGCTCTGAGCAGACTGATAAAAGGAATATAGTCTCTGTTAATAAATTTATCACAGCATTATACTTATATTGACCACATACTAAAATTTTCCCCAGAATTCCTGCATGCATAAAATATTTTGCATGCTGCTTGGTCTCATGTATTCAGTAAGTAATTCAACCTTCAGCTTAGTGGAGTTTGGAATTTCTGAAATTTGAATTCTGCCAACCGTATAAACAATACATTTTTTCCCCTTCAAAGAGAGGGTGGTTGATCCAATTAGTTGATACAAACTTTTCAATATTTGCTATTTGGTATCTGAGAGCTTTTCCATCTTCCGTTTATTTTGTGTGAGCTCTTTTATATGCTTTTTTTCTTTCTCATCAGCATCCTCAGACAAGAGCTAGTTTTACTCCTCTTGGACAATTCATAGGCTGTTATTTTTAACTCTATATTTTGTTGTTGCAGGGTATGTACACCAGAATAATGCTATGGACTCAGAGCCCGATGTCTTAAAATCACTTTATTCTCCACTTCTATCATCAAACTCTGTAGAAGGGTTAAGGTAATGTTTCCGCGTTGCCTGAATAACTTCATCTGCCTGAAACATCTTTTTCTATTTGCTGATTCTGAATATTACTTGTGTGTCATTGTGAATGAGATCTTCTTTCTATTTGAGCTGGTCAGTTCCCCATTCCCGAAACTGCCAAGTTGAATAAATTTGAAAGCATTGAAATGATTGTTGACTAGCTAACCTACATATCTAGCCATTCTTGCTTTTGTATGATTCTTGACTGTGCCAAACATATGTGGTGTGATAATTGTTCCCAAATTATATTCATTTTTTCTTTGGAAGTGCGAAATTAATATTTACAACTTTCCTGCCACCTATTATAAATACAAAAAATGGCTTGCTGCTTCCACCATTACTGAGTTTAAGTAAATGAGGATGTCTGATGATCTTGATGTAATAAAAATTGTTGGTTAGGGAAGCTCAAGGTTAGTGCCCTAGCTTAGCCTGGGGATCTCGTTGACGTTGGCTGAGATTCCTGATTCTGGCTTTGGTTTTAGCACTTTGTTTTATTGTATGGGGGCATCTTATTGTGATCTTTTATTTGGATGATTTTGCAGTCTGGAGTGCCTTTCCCAGAAATCCTAGTTGATGGGAATGTTAAGAGAGTTTCTATTCCTCTAATTTTACTCTACACTAAGAACTTTTTCTTGTACAGATATCATGAGGGTGGACGGCTATCTGATCAGCAAATGGCACTGTTGCAATACCAGCGTGAAAACATCCATTTTTTGAGCGAAGAAGTATGTGGTTCTTGGTTTCTTCTGACGTATCTAGTTGTTTATGCATAGTCGCTTTTGGTAGAAAAAAGTCGGGCAATTTGCTGTTGTAGTGTAATTGTTAAATTTGGTTTGGGTGATACCTAAAATTTACCACAGTAAGGAGATATCTTAATACAAAGTGAGTTCAGTAATAAAGCCTGATCGGGGAATCAAGTCCTCCATGCATCGTTTTTGAGACTTAAATTAGTTTCTTGTGTCTTCTTGTAGATTCTCAGATTGCAGGAATGCCTGAGTAAATATGGAAGGTCCAGTGATGGTAACACACCTCAGGTAATATGAGCTTAATAATTATAATTATATACATTGTTGATTGTCAGTTTTTCTGTGTGCTGAGACAAGAACGAAATCTTTTCATCCTAATTCTAAAATGTTAATATTTGTTACTGACGTGTGTGGCAACAGTCATTCATTTTCTATATATCACATAAAACGGGATTACATTTATATTCTTAGTCTTGATTCTTTTCATGAAACTAGTGCCTGCCAAAGCTCTTCCAATTTCTTTTTCCTTTACGTCACTCATGTGCACGTTAACTTCATGTTACATATTAATTTAAGCACGGGATAATATGAAAATGTATTAGTTAATGTTACATTTGATGCATTATCCAAAACTACTCAAATGGTCTGTAATCTTTTGTGTCCCTGATATGGTTTTTGCAACATCTGAAGTTGGTGCCAAGGGTTCCCATTTCATTATTGGTACACCTCAATTATTGAATTTCGTAGGTTGATCTTGCACATCTGTTAGCAGCTCGTGACCAGGAACTCCGCACAGTTTCTGCTGAGGTATTTCTGCTAGAGTTTCTCCCAATTCCTCCCCCTATCTTTTGGAGTTGGTTGTATGATGTACTTGAAATTTCATACTGCTATAGAGAGTCTGATTTGTCTGTTTCTTACATGTTAGTTGCAATTTTTTATGTTTGTATTTTAGATGAACCAACTGCAGTCTGAGCTTAGTCTTGCAAGATCTTTGATCGCGGAGCGAGATTCTGAACTCCAGAGTCTCCGAAGTACAAATAATCAGGTATTTAATTAAAAGAATTCTCATCCCGTCATTTCTTTCTGCCATTCCATTCGTACGTGATATTTTGTACTAGTTCATTTGCTAGAATGCTCATCTGCGTTGTGTCATTGGCTCTTTATTTCGTTTTTTGGGGCCTGTGACACGACCCATTTTATTAGGTTGTGATTAAATCCTTTGCCTCTTTCCCATTCTTGGATAGATCCATCTATTGATAACCAACCTCCTTTTGTGAAACTAATCTCACTGAAGCTTAACAAGATTTTATATAGAGGTTTATCAGTGATCCCTAAATTTCTATAGATGACTTCTTTTGGGAAGAAAAATCTAGATGCTGAAGCTTCTGCTCTTGGCACCCATAGAGATAAATGGGGAAATTTGTCAAATTCGGCTATTTATGAGAATTTGCATTAAAATGAGCTTATGATATTTGTCACAAGTCCTTTACCTCAACTAAAGCATTCTAATAATTTGTCTTTGTGCAGTATGTTGAGGAAAATGAGAGGCTGAGGGCAATTTTGGGAGAATGGAGTACGCGAGCTGCTAAGGTAATAATGCTACATACTTCTTGTGCTCACTTAACATAGTTCAACTTGAAAGATTTGGTGACTTCATTTTTCTTTTTTGGATGAAAGCTTGAACGAGCCTTAGAGATTGAGCGATTATCAAACTTGGAATTGCAAAAGAAACTGGCCACCCTGAAAAGCCAATCAAGGGAATCAATGGAGCCAAGTTTATAGCTAGATCAATAGTTACTTATCTATCAAACAAAGTGCATATATGGTTTCTATATGGTAGCATTCATTTTAAATTTTACCATAAAGTTCTGAAGAATGTAGATAAAGCAATGATATTAGATCAGGTGTACAGAATGAGGCAAACAGATCTCCACTTTGTTAAGAGTCAATAGAGTCGGGAATTTTCTTTTTCGTGAAAAAGTAGACACTGCATGAAAGTGTAACTATTTGCAGCAAAAGAGTAGATACTGGATGGAAGTGTATGTATTTGCGGCTTCTGATATTGAAATGAACGTACTTCGACAAAATCAGCTGAATGCATATTTGCATCCAAAAATCTGTCAAAAGACTCAATTGTATGATCTTCACCAGGCTTATACTTTCCAAACGTCCTACAATCAGACAGTTTTTATAAATTGTACTAGGGTATATGCTTTCACACAAGATATCCTAAGGAAGTCTGATGAAAAACCATAGAGATTTACACAGACATTGCTTCAAGATTACAAGAAATTCACCAAAGGGTACATTTAACGGACAAAGAAACTCACATCTTCCCTGCTAGAGCTGGGATGTTTGTATCAGATTATCATAGCAATTCTTCAGTAGGCCGAGCGGTACGAACACCACCCTATCTTCACATCCAATAATTCAAAGAAGCTGGAGCTTGGTAGATGAGAAAAGGAGATGTTTGGTCCATACTGGTGGGGACCATTAGTGACTACCAGAGCCAGTTACAGGCATATCAATGCAACCGATATTTGCCACGAGAGGGTGTAGGCATAAGCATGTGACTACACTACAATGGTGATACATGAGCAGATTCGTTTAGAAATAGACAACCAAATACATAGTTGTAGAAGTCTTGGCCTTTGATAATCCCTCCATTCCCAATCAAGGGTTCAGTATCATACTTGCAAGCTCTAGTACAATCGGGACAATAAGTTACCTGCATTACCACGTACATGATTATAAATATCCAGGGCCAAAGTGACATGTATCTCTAACAGGAACATAAAGCTAAAAAACCTGTTCATACAAAGCATGTTTGTGTAACTCAAGTAGAATCGAACTATCTTATGAGCTATAGTAAGCAGAGCATTGCACAATGTTAACAAAATCCACTATCACAATTTTGAGAGCAGCCAATCATCTATAAGGGTATGAATTTGGAAACTAGTATAAGATGATTCTAACCACAACATGCATCAAAATATGTCGAAACTGGGATAACCAACATGAAATGACATCATTCTGATACAGTAATAGAAAAACTCAAACGATATTAACTGTAACACATCTGCTGTACCTCTAACAATTTAGGTTGGAAATTAGAGTCAAGCATAACATCCACACCATACATCGCTCTTGAAGTCTGACTATGCATTTCTGGGTGAACAATAGCAGCTGCTTCAAAAACAGATCTAAGCATCCTTTTCACTCGTGAATGAATGTCCATCCAATTAACTACAACATAGAGAGATAAATGAATCAGCAAGTAGTTCAACAACTATAAAACATCAGACTTAAGATGGCATCAAGATAACTGAAAAGCTTTCAGTACCATGATGCTCTAGTTCAAACTCCTTCACAAATTGTGATGTATCCAGGTGATTGAGTCTTCCTCTGTAGTTCTGAAATAACCAAGAAAAGGGTAAGTTCATGTCTTGCCTCTATAAACTAAGGAAAATGAAGATTGCCAGAAGGTTTACATAACAAGAAACATGCTAAATGTGTTGGTAGACTCACATTTACTGTAAAATGAGTTTCGTACTCAAATAAACTATTTTGGTCCAGAGTATAACTGTTATTCGCCAACCTTACCTGAAAATAAACAAAGCAAACTTAGCAGGGCGTTAAGCACTAAAAGATTTTAAATTTCAAGATTAACATCCGTTCTATCAGACAAAGATAATCTCACTAACTATCCACGATCCATACCCAGAAAGTATCAGCAAGGTAGATATCCAGTGGTATAATACTGCGAACGAGAACTAAGTAGCGGAGATCAAATTTCTTCCCCTTAAACAATGAAGGATGCTCAATATACTTTTGGCATATTTTTGGACCTGTCTCCATAAGTCGTATAATTGCAGATAAATTGTTAGTTACAGTAGTATCAATTGTTCTTGCCATGTTCCATGGCTTCAATATCCACAAATTGTTCAATCTGTCCCTTTCACGCATGTAATAATCTCCAATGAGCTGAGTAAGCTCTGTTTCGAGATTATAAGTAGGCTGAAGCCAGTCCGGGGATCCATAAGCCTGTCAGCAAAGATGGCTAAATTTAGCACAAGGCAACATCTGCTGTTTGAACAAAATGCATAAAAATATGCCAACCTCCTGAACAGTTTCTGCAAGATGATGCTTCATGACAAGACAAGCTTCAAAGGGAAATTGATTAATAATCTGCTTATCACTTAGCCCAGCAACCTTCTTCGTCTCCTCATCCACCTGCATGCTTGTCCAGATAATATCTGCATCTTTGGGCTCAGATGCTGCAAAAAGCAATGACAATAAGGATTGTGGACGACAAGCATCTATTAAGACTTAAAAGAAAAGGGAACTGTCTTCACTTTATTTTCAGTGGCCTCAAAAGAGTTGAGACCATAGTTATTGGACAAACTCAAAAAAAGAAAAAGTAAAAGCGAATTAGCTCAACAGAAAGTATGTATGTAACAGTAAACTTCTAGTAGACAGCATCAATACCAGATGAACAATGCAAATAAGAATAATCACACATCTACTCAGAACTCACTAATTACAAACTCAGGACGTGTCAAAAATTCCTCCACTTGAGGTATATCTGAGTAAACCCGTAATGCAGTTCCATCACTCCGGGACAATCTGTCACTGGCACATGATCCTAGTGGCGGAGGTTGATGTTTCTTTGATTGCAATTTCATCTTGTGTTTTTCGTACTCCTAAAAAACATTAAGAACTGAGAAGAGAGGTCCTGGATCATCGAAAATACATGATGAAAAGAAAAAGACGAAACCTACTCTGGTAAAATAATTTTGAGGAGTATGGAACCATGCAGTAAGTCTGGCAGATCGTTGTTTATCCTCTCCAATACCATAAAGATAATCGCGACAGCATTCAGAACCTCTCTCAACATTCTGAGTGGGCCAGAGAATTGAATAACTGCAATTATTCCATGTCAGAATTTGCTGATAAAAAGATAGAAGAGGACAGGTCCCTCCCATGGTTTGGGGGGAGGAGGGGGAGGGGGAGGAGAAGCGTGTTAAAGTTCTTGAGGAAAGCCTATTGATGTATTCTATATGTTTCTGCTTCACACATTGAAAAATTTTAAAGTTGATCTAAAGAACTATACGAATAATATTCTACAGATAACTGTGGTAAATGAACACAACCTTACAGCTGATGCTAAGTTACCCTCGGGCATGTAAAGGAAAGGAGACACACGAAAATTTGGTTCATCACTGTGCCGCAAAGCTGAACCCAGTTCATCCATCACATACCTACAAGAACACCAAGAGTCTAATAAGTGCCTTTTACAAAAAATAATTATACAATCACCTGAGGGCAAAATCACACAAAAACCTGCATTTGCATTAATAGAATCTCTCACATTCAGTCATTCATTATGCATTCATGTCCTGAAGAAGTGAACTGTTCACTGCCAACATATTCTTTACATTCCACCATAAGCCAAAGAAATTTCACTATCACATTCTAATAGCCAAAACAAAGGTAAATAATCCACCCTGCACAACACCAATTTTCAGGAAGTGGAACCTGACTGAGCCTTGATACAACCCTGCTAAACTCTTTTTGAAGTATGTTCTAAAAATTTTCATCCACCAAAATACAGAGCAGCTTCTCATTACTAGATTCCTCGAAAACTCAACAAGCATGAAAAAGACGGATTTCTATGGAAAATACCTACCCAAAAAACTTTTTCTTTGAATGGTAAATGGCTTCCACACTGAGGCTCTGTTTGTTTGGTATCTTGAAAAAAAAGGTCCCATCTTGTCACACCTTTTTAAATTTCCTACACATCTTTTTCCCTTTCCAATACACCCTTTTACATTCTCTATGAAAAATTTCTCAAAAAAATTACTATCCACACCCACTGAAACTGGAATTAAGTCACTGACACCCCAAAATAAGATAATCAATAGGGACCAAATGAAGAAAACCACTAATAATTTAGTTTAATACCACACGGAGGTTTCATCAATCTTTTCCTCATCTGCGAGCCTATACGTCATTAAGAAGAGCCACATTGCACGAATAACACGATCAGAAAGAGGTTCATCTGCTGTCCACTCAGGAAGTCGTGGATGTAACATTGAATCAACCACAGACTTTCCAGACTCTAGGATCTTAGCTGCATCAACACCATTCAACAGAGCAACTCTAGGAAGGGACTCAACAATTTCAGCAGCACCATCTCCAAGGGGGCCAGGAATATCAACCTGTTCCATCTCTTGACAGTATTAGGGGCATGCATGATTCAGTTTTAATATTTAAAAAAAAAAAAGTTGTAACACAAGTACCTCTAATGCTTGTAAGTTGCTGAATCCTCTAAGCATTTCCAGTAGTTCATTAGTTGAATGCCCATCCAATGGGTTCCCACGAAGATTCAAGTACGAAAGGCATGGCAATTCTGCAGGTGAGAATACCTGAAGAAACATAAGAGTAAGTGAGGGACTCCTTAAGGGAGAGTACATGTCTTGCAATTTAAGATTCTTACTAACTAATTAGGGATGCTAAGCTTAACGAAAAAAGCAACCTGACCTTTTTCTCAAGACTATGAATACGTCTATTTGAAAGGTCTAGAGAGGTAACACTCTGCAATGGAAGGTCACTCTGGAGATCATGGCCAGGATTTTCCTTCCTGTATTGTCCTCCACAAAAACCAAGTGCCCATTTCCCGTAATTAGCAGTGAAATGTGAGTTATAGATTTCCAGCTGAGGGCAACCTTGAAGAAAAACATCAGCCAGGTGATCGCCTCTGTAGAAAAATAGCACCATCAATATCAGGAGCCAAAAAGGATGAAGCACAAAAACTTAGCTTAATTTAGTTGTGAACATTACCTGCTCTCCAGAACTGGATTATGATTCAGCCAGAGAGCTCTAAGTTGTTTCAATTGGGTAATTTGTTTGGAAACTATTTCTACATCCTTGAGTTTGTTGCCATACAGGCTCAGTGCAATCAAGTTCTACCAAAAGACAATAAAAAAACTTTAGATAAGAAGCATTAACAACATTACAAAGTAGCAGAAATTTCAGACTGTGTTGGAGAGAAAATTTTAAAATCCAGAATTAAAACATCTCCTTTATTTACAGACAACAGTTAATGGAAATGTAATGTCCTTTTACAGGATTATTTCACATTAATGTGAGTAATTTACATAATGCAAACCCAAAAAAAAATGGAAGCAAACTGAGGGGACTATATTTTGTAAGTTCTAAAAAAGAGACGAAAATCCTATAAAATCCATGAAGAGACTGTAGGAAGTTTAACACTGAGGGGATAACGATCAGGCCAATCAAAACTCAATCTGCCTAGACCATTCTCTCTAAAATGATTCTTGACCATTATCTAACAAATTAAACAAGAACATTACGAAACAACTATATTGGCTGCTGTAACTTATGGCTTACAGGAAATTTAGTCGGCAAATCCAGAGAAATCAGCGTGGAATCATCAATGCCAAGCTCATCGAGCTCCAACCACCTCAGAGTATCAATACGGCCCTCTTTAATTTCACATAACTCTTTCTCTACAATCTCCTCAGCACTCAATTTAGTTTCATTTTCATCCAAATCCTCATCTTCTTCATTTAAATCAATGTCCACACACATCAATGAAGCCATTCTTTCTGCCAATCCTGGAACCTCCTTCAACTGCAAATATACTAGAATAATTAATTTAAACCGCAAAACAGAACAGGAAAGCAACCAGTTTCTAGTTACGAAAAAACATTAAATCAATGTAAATCAGTCAGATATAGGCTTAATTCATCCTCACATCACAATAACACCTCGCAAAATCCACTTAGAAACGGACTCAACTTTCAGAGGCTTGGACTAGTTATCCAAAAGCACACGAGAAACATCTTCCGAACCTGTTTATAAGCATCGGAGAGGCGAAATGTCCAAGCATGGTCGACGAGGAAAAGATTGGAGTCCTTCTCCATAGAGTCCGAGGTAAACACAAGCCTTCTCTGGCGGCCATCGACATCCTCAGCGGGCTCAATTTGGAAGTAATCTCCGGAGTCGAAAGTATCATTTGAAAGCTTCTCGAAGAGTGTTCGATGGAGGGAACTTGGAATTCCAGAGGCTGCAAGAAGTATGCCGTGAACTTTCAGGAAGTCCTCGTAAGTTTGAATCCGGTTGCCGCCGCCCAAGACGGTGGCGTCGGCAGACATTTTCACTTTTCCGATTTCGCGGTTTTATCCCGGCGGCAGTTCGAGATTTAAGAGTGGCGAGTAAGGGTTTAAGTGAGAGACCGTTTTTTTCCGGTTTTAAAAAGTAACTCTCAATCAATTTTTTTTAAAAAATAAAATAAAATAAAATCTTGGGAATATTCTCAAGAGTTTCGACTTCCAAATTTATATGTGAAAATTTATCCGTATTTTGTCTTGCTTTAATCATATTTTTCGTGGACATTATAAATTTTCCCAAAAAATAGGTCTTCTAAATTCAAAAAAGTATATCTTAAATTTGGACTTATGAAATTAGTTTCACCAAAAATTAATTGTTAAATTGATAAATAATCATAAAATTTTATTTAATTTTCATCTTAATTTTTTAATTTGCGATATTAAATCATTTAGGTTTTTAAATTGGACTATTTTTCTAGGATTAGTAATCTATTGTCCTACGACTGATTTAGTTTTAAAAAGCGGGCGGAAAAATAAATTTTTCAATGGCAAAATAGGGTGATTATAGCATAACATATCATTTACTATTTTTTTCACGATATATTTTTAATTGTGCATGTCATTTTTCGTTTTTAAAATAATACTATACAAACAATTCATTTGGATGTCATTTTGATTTTGAAAGTAAGTTACATGTTACTATAAAAGGAAGATTAATTAGAGTAATAGCATAGTCCTCCTAGCTAGCGGTTATTGTGCAATTCAAGTATAATGATAAAAATGATGTCTGAAGTAGAGTAATAGGTTACATGTAAAATTCTAATTTTTTAGCTAAGATGATAGCTTTTCTTGTCAAAACGGTCAATAAAATTAGGTGGCTGTGGCTGCTATTGCAATTATCCAGCACATAACAATTTCATATATTTTATATGAGGAAAAAAGTTTAATTTAAATATGTATGTATACGATAATTAGCTAATGCGATCTCTGAAATACAAGGCAGAGTTAATATTTGGCTCTTTCCGATAAAGAAAAAGGGAACAAAATGAAGAAAAGACCCTATTTTCTTTTGGTCATGACCGAATATACAGATTAAAAAGCTTAATTTGTAATTATAATTTTTTTTGAGAAGAAAACTAATTTGTAATAATAATTAGTCTTTTTTTGGATTAATTATAATTAGTCAGACAGAACTGAAAAATGTATATCAGTACAATTTGATCCTTATCGATTATAATTCGTAACACAAACTATAACCAAACTTATTTACTAACTAAACTAAACTATAACCAAACACAAATATAAATAGATTGGTCTTATGGATTCAACAACAGAAAAGTAATGAAGTCACCCAGGTAGACAAAAGTGACAATCTAGAAATCCCGCCAGTCCACAAAAGGCGGCATACGACCACTAGGACCGTTTCTTCAGCTTCTATTGCAATTTAACAAGTGCAAGCGTCACGCTCTTTCCATACTATGAGTCCGAGCTTCGTTGCAGCTACCCAATTCTTCCCCAGCTAGCAGAAGCATTGCGCAATTCGAGGCCCATTCCAAGAGCCCGAGCTTTGTTGTACTTACGCAAGTCTTCCCACTTTCGCCCAACTTCCCTCAAGTAAAGCTTTTGCAATTTCATAATATTCTCATTCGAGACCACCAGTTTGACCCCAGGACGTCCAACATAATAGACTTGCATACAGGAAAATAGAACACAATCATTAGCAGGGGTGGGGGAGGTAAAGAATAACCCCTTCATCACACTCTAACAGTCCACTTCGTTAAACAAAATTAGAACGACGAAGTGAACTCTTAGAAAATTGGACGTAGAGGGATAAGAAACCAAATCTCCAAGTACATACATTAACGTGCAACAATGAAAGTGGCCACAGGGAACTTACCACTGACACATTCTCCACATTCATGGGCATGATATACAGACATACAAAGTGTCTTTTTGGCCCACTCCTTAGCTTTATCCACGGTTATATCCTTGTTATCGTCAGGGAGCCTATAGAAAAACCAGCAAAAAGTTCTAAAGGAGTCGAGTAAAATCAGGCACAATACAGGAAACCTGATCTGAATTTTTTATTTTAATTTTTTTAAAAAACCCAACAGTAATTAAAGCAATTTAAATGTAGCATCTGATGCATCCAGAAAGGCCAAGCATCAATTCCTAAATATTCAAGGCAAGGAAGGCCACGGCCATGTTTACGTGCTACAACTAAAGTAGGGAGAAGAGACATACATGTTCTTAATTATAGAAGAGCAACCTGCAGCACATCCAGTTCCAGCAGACGAGCCTCTAACTTCAAGCCGTCTTCCGTTGCCTTTCACTTTATACAGCGAAGGTCCCTACAGAAAGACAACCAATGATCAATTTTGTAAGAGTAATAGGGAAAATCAAATGGAAAAGAGGATTCTGATGTTTACTGATTCCTCCCACCCAGCAATCAGTATACAAAGTGAAAAACTGCAAGAGGTGTCGGGATGAAGGGACAGAAACTCCGCCAGCCACTTGGATGCTTCTGCAGCAGAAGCTTCTCTTCCCTTCTTGAGTTGAAGTTCGCGGCACTAAAACACATACGACCATGTGAATTACTACAACAGTCAAATCAATGTTTTTTCTTTCCTTAGATGGCATGGTAAACTGTTTCTAACATATAGCGCTCACAGCAGCAATTAAGTACCTTGTTCGGAAGAAGATTTAGCAAGTATTCACGCGAAGATTCACTCCCGCCAGAAAAAGCAGCAAGCAGGCGAGAGTTGAGTAGGCTAACATTTGCTGGAGGCACTTCCCCACTTGGATGATCAAGGGCTACCATAAGCCATTCATCGTTGAAAATGAAACCGTGAGTGGTGGTTCCCAATTCGTACCCACCACGGTAAAAAACGTCATCCTTATGTTAACACAACCACCAAAAAAACAAATAATAAATAAACAAATAAAACCAAAAAGAGAGAACACCCAAAATGAACACAATTTCTAAAGATTAAGCATTGAAGTATAGTCATAATGGAGAGGGAAAAAATAACTCACTTCGGGGGGTAAACGTTGATAGGTCCTTCTTTTCGCCTTTTTATGAGGACAGTGTTTTCACATTTAATACAAGCAAAAACAAACAAAGTAATCAGACGAAAATTTATATAACGGAAATTCAAAAAGGAAACTAAAACACCAAAACAATATCTAGTTCAGGGAGAGAAGAGAATAGAACTCGCAAAAAGAAAACGAGAGGGAGAAAAAAAGAACTCACATCAGAGCGACGACGTTTAAGGGTCGGTGGATTCGCCTTCAATACAAGCAAAACAAACAAATTAATCAGACGAAAACTTATATAACGGAAATTCAAAAACGAAACTAATGCAGCAAAACGAGATCTAGATCTAGTTCGGACGAGAGAAGAGAGAATTGGTAGAGGTATTCACCTTTTCGGCCATAGCAGACGAGGGTTAAGGACGATCCACGGGAGATTGTATCAGTCCTTCACAGCACCTTCAATCCAACCAAAACAAACAAAATCAGACTCAAAACCAAACAGAGTTGAATTAATTGATGTATGTGGATTATTTGCCCTAATTTCTCCGAATAGTTGGCGATAGATACCTTAGCTAATAATAATATACTATATAAATCAGCAAGAGATCGAACCTACAAACAGCAAAAGAAACCCTAATTCGATGAAGAAAACCTTACCTTCTTCGCCGACGTCGAGATTTCAGTGCTTCTCTATGGTTGTGTTTATATTTATTATATGTTCGTGAACGTTTCAGGGTTGAAATATTTGTTTGGATAAGCTATATGAAGTCGTTTAGATGTTGCTTCACAGCCCAGTGCTTCTCTAATGCAATGTAAGAATACTCTTATAACATTATGTAGTATTTAAAAAAAATAATTAAAAAAAAGAAAGAAAAAGACACAATTTGCCACTGCGTAACTTACTCTCTGCCCTTTCAAAAAAAAAACAAAAAAATTACTCTCTGATTTATAATACTCTTATAACTTACTCTCTAATGCAAACTGATCTATCTCATTCTTTGTTTTGCCAAACGTTCGGAGGAGGGTTAGACCAAGAGTCGCCAAAAAATCATTTTTCTCTGCCAAGAAATAGAGAACCAACTAAATTGATTTATTAAGGTGATGATCAAATTTTGTTCTTACATTGTTTGTATTTTTTAAAAAATGTTTTGTTAGGAATATAAACTAAGTTTACTAGACTTGAAATCTAATTTAATTTATGAGACATTATTTAAATTTAAGTTAATTTAAACTGGCACATGCTTTGTTAGGACAACGTTTTGGAAATGCGATTAGAAGAGATTCATTGGAAGGTTTCCCAACTTGAAAACACTTGGGCTGCCAATAGAAATCACTGTATATGGCTTTCTACCCATTAACTTGTAATAAATCCTCAGAGGCTAAATATGCCAACGTTCATGCAGTTTGTACTCAAAGACACTTCACATTTTTCTTTTTCTTTTTTTGATAGAAAGACGCTTCACATTTTTCAAAACAGAAGTTGCTAGAACGGTTATTAGAAAAGTTAGAAAATAGTGGTAAATTGTTTAGATTTTCACAAATAACTAGTCATGTCCTGTCTCGTCGCACATTGCACGACATGTTTTTATCCGCATCATTGAATAGCACTATAGTTGTATGTATAAGGATTTTTTTTTTTTTGGTAAATCACTTTAGCAGAAGGCGCTTTACCAAAGGGACTCCCTCTATCAGCCTCTAATAGTAGCGAGATATAACTCGGGGGAATATCAAAAAAAAATATTCCCCTGTCTACTACAGCTAACCCTTCTTCAACGAGGGTATCTGCACACAGAATTATTATCTCTGACAATGTGCACAAAGATCACATCCCATCAGCCTGTAAAAGGTTATAAATAGCCTTAGCTCGGGATCAAGAGACATTATTGTCCGTTCTTGTAGGCGCTTTACCAGATCAATCGCCATTTGAGAGTCAGAATCTACCAGCAATTTTGTGGTGACTTGTTGTTTTGCCACTTCCATGGCAAGCAGGATCGCTCTGAGCTCTGCTGTCTCTATAGAACAAACGCCTTCATTTCTGTGGAACGCCCTGATGAAACGGCCTGCATCATCCCTGAGAACCCCCCCTATTGCAGCCTTGCCAGAGAGTGTGCAAATAGCGCCGTCACAGTTCACCTTGAGCCACGTTGGAGGTGGTTTCTCCTATCCATGCTTAACCTCTCTGTTGCTACCTCTTTTCTGCCATTGTAGAATTTTTTGGCTTCTATCTATTTCTTCAGATTCTAGACTGCAACTCGGATCGCGCTGTTCACATTAATTACCGTGTCATTAAAAACTCTATCATTCCTCCAAATCCATAGCAACTAGCAAGTTACACCAAAGTTTGCTCGCCATTTCAAATCATCAGCATCCAAATTACTCCGCAGCCACTCCTTAATTCCTTGCTGAAAAAAAGACTGCCTCCGATCGCTAGGCACCAGCTGCAACCAAACTTCACGAGCAATGGAACAATTCCGTAACGCATGTAAAACAGTTTTCACTCCCTGGTTACAGCATGAACAAGTATCTACCAAAACAGCCTCCTACGTTTACACAGCTCATTTGTCGGTAACCTTCCATGTAGAGCCAGCCACATAAAGGTTCGGATTCTTTGAGGGCCCGTCCAGCACCACACCCGTTTCCAATCTCTGTTTACCTGCAAAACAGACTCTTCAGAAGCTAGAAAATATGCTGATTTTAAAGAAAACTTACCCGACTTATTAAACATCCATCTTGGTCTATCTTTCCCTAAGCTTTCCATAGGTGGAGGCATGCTACAAATTTTCGCCACCAAATCCCTACTCAAGAATGGGTTTAGTTTTGTAACATCCAAGTTGCCATCCGACGAAGTGAACTCAATTATTGGCTTAGACTTTCATCCTTCTGGTAGCTGGGCTAAAGTTTGGTGAGCAAGTTTGCCCACCCCTTCAACCCAATTATCCTCCCAGAAAAGAATAGTTCTTCCATTACCGATTACCCAAGTCAACCCCTTTAGAACCAAATGAAACACACCAAAAACACCTTTCCATGTAGGGGATGCATTCTTGTTCCTTCTCAAGTAAAATCCTCCCCTCTTATACTTGCAATACTTAGCTCTGAATGTTTGCACCCACAGGTCATCCTCTTTGCTTACTAATTCCCAACCAATCTTCATCAAGAATGCCATATTACTCTCATGTGCCTTCCTCAACCCGAGTTTACCCTCCTCTTTGGCATACAAACAGTATCCCAATTAACAAGATGTAGCTTCTTCTTATCTGTGGTAGACCCCCCCCCCCACACACACACATACACACAAAATTCCTCACCAGCTTATCCACCTCATCACAAATAAACATGGGAAGTTTGGTGGATTGCATCTGAAACATAGGAATTGATTGTAAACAGGACTGTGCAAGTGTAATCCTCCCTGCTAGAGATAATTGATTGGCCTTCCAACTAGACAACTTGGACCTAATCTTTTCCAAAGAATTCATTATATGTAAACTTTGTGATTCTGCCATGTAGGACTGGAGAGCCAAGATATTTCCCAAGATTGTCTGTCACTCCAAAACCAAATTCATCCCCAATGGACTTCTTCAACTGCCTCGGAGTATTTCCTGAAAAGAAAATCTTTGACCTTTCAGCATTGACCTTCTCCCCGGATAACCTGCAAAAATTAGATAAGATATTTTTTTATTACTCCTATCTGATCATCAGTTACTTCAGAAAAAAGAGATAAGTCATCCACAAAAAACAGGTGAGAAACTATAAGACCATCGCCAATGTGTATGCCTTTCCATTCATTCTTATTTACTGAGGCCGTTATGTTACGTGCTAGGATTTCTAAACAAAGTACAAAGAGGTAAGGAGATAGAGAGTCTCCCTATCTGATTCCTATCGTTGAGGCAAAGTTCTCTGAAATTCCCCCATTCCATAAGACTTTCATGCTAGACGTTGAGATGCAGTGACTAATCAGCTCCACAACCTTCTAAACAAAGTACAAAGAGGTAAGGAGATAGAGAGTCTCCCTATCTGATTCCTCTCGTTGGTGCTAAGTTCTCTGAAATTCCCCCATTCCATAAGACTTTCATGCTAGACGTTGAGATGCAGTGACTAATCAGCTCCACAACTTTCTTAGGAATTGTGCCTACTAAAATTGTTTTCCCAATAAAGTCCCACTCAAACCGATCATAAGCTTTTTCTAAATCAATCTTGATAGCCATCCAACATTTCTTTCCCTTCTTCAACCTCATGGAATGTATAATCTTCTAAACAATCAATGTGTTATCCACCAACTTGCGACCAGGGACAAAACTTGTCTGAGTTCGACTTACCAACTTCTCCATAATTGGCTTTAATCTATTGGCCAATAGCTTTGTCATCACCTTGTAGACAACGGTACACAAGATGATCGGGCGCAATTGAGAGAGATGGGTGGGTTGCTATGGGTATATTTGTTTTTTTTTTAGTGTGTGTTTTTAAGTGTTTTTTGTTTTGAAAATGTAAAAAAGCGTATTAGAAATATTAAAAGATATGCTGAGATGGGATAGTTAATAATATAATAATTTTAAAAAACCATTTAATAATTGAAACAAACAAAGGCTTAGTCTTCGGAATGAGAACCAATAATGTTTCATTCAGCTTGGATGTTATTCTCCCCTCTTGAAGGTTTTGACACTTTAATGAACATTCATCAAATGTAAGGGTATTTTTATCTTTTTACATTTCTTTTGATTTTTCAGTAATTAAGAAATAAATAATGATTAAATAATAATTAAATAAATTAAAAAATATTTTCATATTCAAAAAAATCATAAAGTTTTGTTACTTTTGTTCAGTTGGGCCACTGTTATTTAGTTTTAATTTTTAGAAATTCGTTTAATAAAAAAAAAAAAAACCTTAAAGCATTCATCTCTTCTAATGCTTCTCGTTTAAGGATTCATCTCTTCAAAAATAAAATTAGCAAGGACGCAATTTTGTTTTCTTTTCTTATTGCAAGAAATGATTAATCTCCACTGGAACTAGACATTGTTTGAACCATTCAGACGCCATGAATCCAAAGATTAGAACATTCACTAAAAAGAACAAGCTTGACATAGGAGTAAAAACCAAAGAAGAGGCTCCAAAATAATCCAACTCCATTAAAATGTTGCCACTATTTTCAACCCTTCTGATTTTTGAACAGAAGAAAGCAGGCAGTTTGAACCAATCCATACTCACCACCACCATAACACTGTCTTCCGGCGACCTTCACCAACAACCGAAGCCACCGAATTAGCCGCCCCTCTTCCTTCTCGTTTCGCGGCCAGCCGGGTTCTTTTTTTCCAATCTCTGACCACTGTAACTCGACAGAAAATTCTAGAAATAGGTTGCTCATCTATCCCGGACGCATGGGTGAACAAACCCAAGTACCAACTCAGCC